AGAAGAGGAGTGAGAGAATGAGACACGGTTTGAAGGGGTGGTGCCAATTTATATAGGATAGGAGAGTGTAGGGTATTTTGTGTCTTTGACTTCAAAGGAAAGACTTTAAAACTTTAAAAAGGTTTGAGAAAATAATGAGGTCATGAACTAAACAGAACAATAATCTTAAAACTCAGAAATCATGGATATGCAGGAATAGGGGATGCATTAGATCAGAGATAATGGTGAAGAAATCATGAGTGGACATGGACGACTTTGTCTTGGAAAAGGGATTGAAACAACCAACCATAAAAATGAGTTGGTTCGGAAAAACCCCTGTATTAATTTCGAGTGTTGTAAGAATGTCGACATAACAAGTAGCAGAAAAGGGTGGCAAGAGATTTCACATGGAGGGTCAACGCTTGAAATGGTAAAATTCAACAAAGAATGACGATATAGTGTGTTGCATTATTTTTTAAATTCAATTAATTTTTCCGTTTTGAAACCGGATGTGTAGGAGAGGCCATCCCATCACGGACTCTGATTTTTTTTTCCTTAATTAATAATTACTTTCCTCTCAAATAGGTATCAATTATATTGATATAGACCTTTTTTTATATCCTTTTTTTTTATTTTTAATTAGGGATTTTTGTATCCTAATTCAACAATACAGGTTTTTTGGCACCCTTTATTTATTGGATTGACTTGTATATATTTTCAGCAAATATATTGATAAAAAAATTGGGAGTTTCACTAAAACACCCAAAATGGGGGTTGAAATTATAAAAAAACTCAAGCACTATTTAAACATATAAACACACACAAAACCCATCATTACACACACTCAAAACTCATTTATAAACACACCCAAAAAGTTGACTTTGGGGTTGATTTTGAGTGTGTTTCTATGTTTAAATAGTGCTTGGGTTTTTTTATAAATACATGTCTAGGATTGGGTTTATTTATAAATTTGTATAAAAAATTTTGTAAGCAAAGTAAGAACCGCAGATTTTGAACAGAATTCATCCCATTCAATCAATTATCTAGCTGGGATCATTTCGGCATTAGTCTTTCTCATAAGAATCTTGTAAGGACGTCAGTCGTGCACGCATACGTAGATAATTTCTAACCATTAATCAAACGTTAGTTCCACAATGATTTCGTGTCAGAAATAGATTAATTATCCTTCTTTTTTGGGATGAGGAACAAAACAACAAGAAACAACTCCAGAACAAAGCCCCAATTCCCACCGAGACCATAAAGATCTAACTGGGGAGCAGACATAATAATCCTTTGAGGAACAGAGTGGCATGCAATGGATATTATTCTAAATAAGTTATATGATAAGCACAAGCCGATTGATCTGGTGCTGATAAATGAAGGCGACTATATATATGTTGAGCAATGAGCATATTAACCCCCAACATGTCGTGGAAGAACACGATTAAAATATGGTTTTATAATCTTAATTATTAGCCAAACCAATCCCCTCACATGTCACATGAATTTTGGTCCAAGTCAACGCAATAATATGATCATTAAGAAAGAGATTAACGAAGAGCTTGACAACGTTGAATTCAGAGAGAGAGGTGAGAGAATCAAATCATAGATTAATGGTGGGGCAACAGATTCTTCAATGGACTGTCTTCTTCATGGATGGACTTGGCTACAGTTTATGCCACTTTGTATTAACATACAGACCGACTTTATACCGAGCAAGGTTTGGATAAGCTACCAAATTAACTTGGGCTGTCCTGATCAGAAACAAAATAGGTTTTAGATTATACAGTGTAGGTAGCTATATATATGTCCTTGAAGATGAAAGAAAGAGGCTGGCTAGCCTGGGCATGAATGTGAGTTCTTATTGGAAGTATTATATTGCACTGGACTGACTTCAAAGTCCATCTATTTTCTCGACTGGAAAATTTTTTTGTGGAGCCTGTTAAGATTTCAGAGGGACTGACCTTTGGCCCACCTCTAGCAACATCGATATTGTCCCCAACTTAACCACCTGTTTAGTAAGTGTGGGGTTTTATACAAAAACCTCGATGTTATTAGGAGTGGAACCATTTATTATATGGGACTTTCTATTTTGTTAAGTTTCTGATGGGGGACTCGTATATTCTTCAACACTCCTCCTCACGTGGGATTACTTTTTAGTGGGCCATAAAGGCAATCAATTCCACATCACTTTTTTTTTTTTTTTTTTTTTTTTTTTTTTTTTTTAATAATAATTTATAATTGGGGTTTGTTTGATTTTGATTCAATTTGGGTTTTTGTTTGATTTGGGTTTAATCAGGCCCAGTCAACCGACCCGTTCTGATACCATGTTAAGATTTCAGAGGGACGGACCCTTTGCCGACCTCTAGTAACATCTATATTGTCCCCAACTTAACCACCTGTTTAACAGGTGTGGGGTTTTATACAAAATGTCTCGATGTTATTAAGAGTATAACCATTTATTATATGAGACTTTCTATTTTGTTAAGTTTCTGATGCTGGACTCGTATATTCTTCAACAGAGCCCACTCAAGGTTGATGTAGCTCATGTACGAGGAATCAACAGGCGCTAGGTGTCGCACTCTGTTGCTGCAAAAGTTGTCGCTCCTTTTTTTGTTTTTTGTTTTTTTTAATTCCAACAATAACCCAAATCCAACAATCCATAATAAATCTAAGCTATTTTAACGGAAGAAAAAAATATCCAACATTTGAAATTTAAATCCAACGGTCAAAATAATATTTTAAATTAATCTAAATCAAATTCAACCTCAAAACTCACTCCAAACTCTATAAATACCCACCCATTTCTCAAATAAAATTATATTTGTGGAATTTCAATTTTATTAGGTTAAATTGTTCAAAAAATTTAATTATGAAGTATTTAAAAAGATTAAATGAAGAAATCTTATGCGTGAAAAAAAAATAGACTTAAACCATTTTTAAACAATTTAATAAAGTTGTGGACTTAAAATTTGAGTCTAAAAGGTTGGGGGGGGAAAACGGTTTAAATTCGGGCAAAACCTAAATAGTTATTTTTTAGAGGGGGGAAATTTGAGTTTATGACCAAATGAGTTGGAGAAGGCCTAAGGGGCAATGTATAGGGCTTAACTTTTTCGGTCAAATACAGGGCTTAATCTTATATGTCCCTTGTTGATCTGCTAGCAGCTGATTTTATGAACCCAAAAATGCAGAGCAATGGAAGACTTCAAGTTGGGGGGCTAATACAGCTCTTCTTCTTGGAGCTGGTTGTGGGCTCTGCTAGCCAAATGGGCTTCAACCAAGCGGTCTAGGATGTTGATAAATTTTTGTTCTTTTTCTTTGTGCCATTTGCTAGATTGTTTTTTCTGAAGTTTTGTGTTTTATTTCCCCATAATTAGCATCAAATTATGTAGTTTAAATCTCAGAATTCAATAGAGGAGAAGTGTAAAAAATATAATATATATATATATATATAAACATTCAGTTGATGGTGCAGTTTCTTTACAATTCAATAGAGAAGTGTTTGCTTTTTTGTTAAAGAGTCAAATATTCAATCTGAATCATTAGTCTAGTTGATTCCCTTCCCATGCATTTGCATCAATGTCCAAGGCCCACAAGATTGTAGTTTGGAAATTGCGAGGAAGTTTCCACCCCCTCTCTCTCTCTCTCTCTCAAAGTGATGGAAAAGTCGCCGAAATTTGTAATGAGTGATTGAAAATCCATGAGAAAATCCAAGTCCATTGTAACAAAAAGGAAAACAAAGAAAATTTATGCTGAATTGACATGGAAAAACAAACTAAATTTCCATCTAATTCCGTCCAAAAATACACTTGCACGTAAAAGACACGTGTTTATTCCGTCAAGAATTTAGACTAAAATTTGGACGTGTTCTTAAATTGCAATAAAATCTACGAATGTCACATTACCAGAATTGAAACCACATGGATGAAAGTAAAAATTTCATCAAACTACAGGGACGAAAAGTGAATTTTTGCCTAATATATATATCTTATGCAACATTGATAAATTTACATGAAAATTTCATTTCACTATTAAAATTAGAATTTTCACCTTTTAACTATTAAAAATATAGTTGTGCTTACGTGCACAATTTGCAATCATTGATCTAAGTATAACTTGCACTCCATCAACGATTAGAAATCACCCATATACAGACGTGCGATTAATCTAAGAAAAATCATTTACGAAGTATCGAAGCCAAGTTAAACAGAGCTTTAGGACCTAAAACATGACACACGTACACCTCTAGAGGTGACTAGAGTGATGAATTATAAAATGGTTTTAGTCTCTCAAATGAAGTAGTAGATGCGCATGACCATTGACCAAAAGGACACAGAAAATAAAATAAGAAACAACAATAGCGGAAGTGGGATATGTTTGTTGATATGCTTGAAGCAGATGCGTTTAACCGACGTCGACCACCAGACTTTGGCATTGTGAATTGCCATCTACGTCTGAGATAGTACAAAAAATCTGATAGGAATCATCGAACGCGTACAAACCCAAACGTAATGATCAAGGAATTGTCTCATCAAACTTTCACTTTTACTATTGAAAGCTAAGTTGGTTTTGTCATTTTATTGTAGGAAATAAAAGAAAAAAGATGATCCCATCTGAACAAGAGAACCTTCCCTATTCCCGTTTCATTGCCCTGCAATCTTTATCTCTCTCCTCATGTCACCCGGAGAAGAGACATAAGCGGACAATGAAACAGGGATAAGGAAGTATTTCTCCATCTAAAACCTTTGAGTTGCCAGGAGGGTGAACACAAAGCACAAGTTCAAGTTGGACACAGATGGCAAGCAGAAACGCAAAGACAAATATCACTATCATGTATAACTGTGTCCTAACCACACTGGAGATAGATGAACAAAAAACAGCAAAGTTATACTACACTATGTCTCGATTCAGAGTTCCCCTTTTCAACCACAGGGAATCACATTTCATTTTACACAACTCCATGAACAAGCCGCAATGGTACAACAACCAATAAATCCTGCAAGCATGGAAAAGAGCATCTACTACTTTCCTTGCTCATTCTTTTCTTTCTCAACCTTTTCTTTCTCATTATTCCCATCTTTTCCATATACCTCCTCATAATATTCTTCATCGTCATAGTATTCTTCATCATCATAGTACTCTTCGTCATCATCCTCATCGTAGTATTCTTCATCATCACTATCCGCCTTACCATTTTCCAGCAGATACTTTTCTCTCGACTGCTGCCCTCTTAAGCTCTCTTGAATTCGATCTCTGATGGCTGTGCCCTGAGAAAATCCCACATCGCAGAGTAAGGACACCAAAATTATTAAGACAGTGTTTACTTGTAGAAATATCAGTTTATATGTAATTGGTAATGCATATATTGTCTTTACCATTTTATGGCAACCTTCTTCAAACATCTCAAGAAATCCAGCAACCCAGCGATCAGCATTTTCTACCCACTCATTACGATGCATAGCAACAGTCTGGATCTATAATACCAAGTCAGAAATGCACACCAGTAAGAAAAATATACAATGATTGGATGGTGAGAACGCAAATTTACAATCTAGTAATTAGCAAATGGATTGTGATGGCGTTATACAAATACAGGAGCATTTTCTCTCAGATCAGGATGGAGGAATCTATTCCTTCAAGATAAAACCTTTCTCATGTCTGTACAAGTGTATGCGGGTTTGCATAGAGATTTGAATTCCATAACACTTATTAAGTACACTTCATGAACTCAGGCCCCTAAACAGGGGTGTGCAATAGCTAGCAATTTTGTTGCCTTCGACAATTCTATTACCTAATTATTAAACTTATGTCCAGTCAATTTGACAATCTTCCTTCATTCATCAAGTTAAACTCATTGACAGAATTTGTTATTTGGCCCTTTGACAATGTTATATATATCATCTTAAATAACCGGCGATTGCTTGTTGGTACCTTATGCCGTTATGTCATGCTATGCATATAGAAGCAGGTTTACATGTATATTGGCGTGAGCGTATACATAGTTGAAAATTTTGTGATGAGGACATATTTGTCAAACCCATTAGGGTTTACAAACGAAAGCGACGGAAGAGGGAATTATTAATTAGTTTCCTAATTTATTTGTTAGTTCCTAGGTTCTCTAAGTTTTCCAGATTTCATTAGGATTTTTAGTTTTTCCAGATTTCAGTAGGATTTCTAAGTTTCCTATTTTATTTGGATTAGGATTTCTTTCATAGAATAAGTTTAATTTTTCTTTTCACTCTAGGGTTAGATTATTATAAATACCCCGTCTATGTAATTCATTATGGAGTCGAGTTGTTGAGATATAAAGAAAAGCTTATTTTCCAGAGATTGGAGACTACTTGGTGTGAAGCCAAACCCCTGGAGTGATTCCAGACCTATCCCTTTTGTTCTATTTTCTGTTTTCCATTGTTTTCGCTTCCGCTAAACTACCTAAATACTCAATTCACCCATATCCTACATCATTTTGTTAACAAAAGGGCATTGACCAGACTTAATTTGGGTCTCATGGTGCATACCAATTAACACTGGGAATTATAAAAAGCCAAGAAATTCCATATAAGCAAGAGCAACATGAATAACATAAGGTATAATGTAAATGAATCGGGAAGCCAAAAACATTTTCAAATCGGAAACACAAAGATTGTCATATTCATCTACTTCTTCGTTGGAAGGAGATTGAAGAACATATAGGGGTCGTTTGGTATGGTGGACTGTCATGGACTAGACTTAATTTTTTAAAATATTTTTTTTTGAAAAGTAAGTTTTTTTTAATATTTAGAAACAGGGCATGTGGATTTTTAAAAAAAAATTATGTCTTCTCTCTACATCTCTTTCTTCATCTTCCTCTCATTATTTTTTGACTTTTCTTCTCTCTCTTCATCTCATTCTTTTCTTCCGCGGCTGGCTTCTTTTTCATCTCTTTCTTCTCCATCTTCTCTCCTCCTCCTCTTCTTCCGTCTATTTTTCTCTTCATTTTTTTTTCAAAAATTTTATCTTCTCTCTTCTTCCTCTTCTATTATGTCTTCCCCTTCTCCTCTTTTCTCTTTGAAAATTTTCAGACAAAAACAAGCAAAGAACCCAAGCTACCACTCCCCTTTCGTACCCTCAAATTCGGCATCATCTCACAACATCCCTTCCCCAAACCCCAAAAAACTTATGTTACGTTCCTTTCTTAGCCAAAATTAAAACCATTTATGTTCTTTTTTGTTCTGTAATTTTTTTTTGGATTTGCAGAGAGAAGTAGAGGAGGAGTTAAGGGAGAGGGGAACATCAATGTTGCTGGGGTGGGGGAAGATTGGGATGTTGATGCAGTGGATTTGTGTGGTGTTTTTTTCTTTGAATTTCGAACTGGTTATGGCTTTGGACAATGATGCAGTGGGCATGGTGGATATGGTGAATCTGTGTTGCGGCTGGAGGAGACAGAAAGCAGTGGTGGTGGGTGGGTCTGCTGGCTCTTGCTTGCTGGTTGTGGTTGGTTGCAGGCGACGTTGCTCATTGAGGGAGAGGGGCACTGCAATGCAATGTCGCTAGTGAAGGGCTCGGGACAATTTGTCCGCCCTTTCCACACAGGCTTCCGTAAGAACACTTAAGGAGGTGTTTTTGGTGGGCCCAGTATTAGTTAATCCCATTTAAGATTAGAACCATGGGAAACAAACATGGGATTAAAGTTCGGCCAATCCAGTCCAAGCCAATCCCTTGTAACAAACAAGGCCATAGTGCATTGACTACATGACACTACCAAGAAGAGTCCATAACTAGACATGGACTTTAGTATAAAAGGAGTTTTCAGCTCGTTAAGGAAGATGCATTTTTGGCACTGAGTTCAGAATTAAAAATTAAATAAAATGAAACGATCACACCTGATCAGTGAAAAATTCTGACACCAATCATTTACGAGTGAGTATTACACCAAGAATTAATTGACAAGCGGATGAATTTTCTAGTTCGCTACGTTGGTATAGCTTATAATATTGTTAATAATCCCAAGATTTCCCCCATTCGATGCCAGTTTGAACCCTAAGACCCCTGGGTCTTTGGATGTAATCCAAAGCCACATGATACAAGGAAACCAGCAACGAAATTCATTATTATTCACTATGCTGGTTGTGATTATGGCAACTCAAAGATACTATACAAAGGTATTTGTGCCTAACATAATTCACCATGCTGGTTGTGATTACAGCATAACAATACTGTCATTATTAAAAAGACATACCTTCTCTCCCACTTTTTCTTGATGTTCCTTCACTTTCTCTTGTAATTTCTTCAATCTCATGTTCACCCTTAACCGCTTTTCCTGTTTATATGAAACACAAATAGAGAGCTAAGTTCCTTCGCCATGGAAAAGTTACCATATCAAAAGATAGGTCGATTGAAAACAAGACCCCAAGAAAACCATATTTCATAGTAAGAAAATCGAATAGATGAAAACACGAGAAAAATCTTGCCTTCACAAAACTAACACCAAGCTCTTTTCTTGTATATCCACGATCCAAGTTACGCAACACATACTGATTATAATCTTTTACAATCCTCATTATAATGTCCGAGGTCGAAATCCCATCAGTTCTCTTTGTTTCCTTAAACCTCCCCACTGCTTTGACCTATAAGAAAAGAATCACTTAACAAATTATATGTTAAAGAAAAAAGGGGAAAAAAAAAGCCAAAAGAAAAGTACTTTGTGCCAAACTTACAAATTCATACACATCTTTCCCAGCTCCACTGGCATCAGCATAACTGTAAAAGACATATTGAAAAGTACAAAAGAATCCATAATAAATTTCACTTCTAACAGAAAAGGTGTAACAAATCCGCACCTACTTTTATATCTGTAAAATTTAAGATATACCATATATTTCAAAATAATGGTATACTGATAGAAACAATACCGGCCAAAAAAAAACCATACGAATAAAGCTGAAGTATTTTATTAACACTGGAGCTTAAAGGTGAGAGCTTGAGAAAACTATCCTTACGGGAGAGAGTCATGGGCCACATAGGCAATCTCATGCTTGTCAAGAAATTCTTGATTGATCACCCAAGGTGCATCAGGAATGACTTCATCTACCCACCTGCACAAACAAAACCCATATTTGTTATTCTTGATTATACAACTCTCTGAAATTCTATTGTATGAAAATGTGCCATCAATGCAAGCACATACACATGTAAAAGTTATAGCTTTAACAAAAACACTACATCTCAGCAAAACCAAAAGAAATATTTCAGAAAGAAAAAATTATAAGGTGGAGAGGGACAATAAGGTAACAGAGAACATTCGTACTTGCAATGGCGAAGAGATTCATAACGTTCAGACTCTGTCATAACAGTCTTGCCTTTAAACTTGTGAGTGGTTTCATCATTACAACAACCAACGAGAAGATAGGTGTTAGGGAACCTGAAATCGCAAATTGAACTTATAAGAAAAATGTACATAAGCATGCCACATGATATCGATTTTAAAAGTTGCTATAGCAAATCAAACGCTATAACAAAATAGAATCAGAACATACAGCAACAAAGACATAGAATTAGCGAATAATAACAAAACAATACATCAAATAAAAAACTAAATCCCCACACCATGTATCTCTGTTTTTAGTTCTGATACAATGTCAAAAGGGAATACATTACAAGTTTTAACTTAGGAATCATCTGTGTAGCTATTCAAACACTTTAAGATTACAATTTCATACAAGCTTCTACATATCGGTTTAACTATTCTACGACGTATGTGAATCCAATAAGCTTAACCAAAGTAAGGCATTCATGTAAAAAGAAAAGAAAAAACGATTAACAATCACAGATATTAAAAGTGAATCAGCATAAGCAAAACATTACAGCAAAATAAAAGATATCCAGATAACAAAACACACAAAAGTTACAAATTTCATGAAACAAACCAAGTGAAGCTCCAAAATAAGAACAACCCAGATTCGAAAATGAAGCAAAACATAGAATCAAACCATGATTTCACTGAAACAAACACAAAAGCAACACATGGCAATTGAAAAGGACTGTGCGAGAGAGATAGAGAGAACACATACGATTTCTTGGCTTGCTCGAGCGAGCGAGCATGGCCGAAGTGGAAGAGATCGTAGATCCCATCGGCGTAGACGCGAACAAGGCGGTCGGGTTGATCGGCGTTGGAATTCGAATGGGCACTGGTGTTGCTGGTGTGACAAGTATCTTTGGGCTTTACCTCTGCCATTCGAATCCAAATAAGAAACTTGAGTTTGAGTTTGGGCTTTTACCAATTTGCCACCTCCACGACTACCACCACCTCTGCTTGGCTTTGTCTCTCTCTCTCTCTCTCAGCTCTCATTCTTTTTTCTCTCTTTATTTGTGATATTCGTCGGCGTCCCCTGGTAAACTGTATAACCTCAGAATCTGCGGTAATTCCGCGTCCCCCTCCCTAACTATTTGTTTTGTTTCATTTTTCTAGTGTGGGTTTTTGTCGAATTGAAAGATGCTATTAATTTCCTTTTATGATTTGTGTTTTCTTTAGTCTAAGATGGGGGAAAATTGGATGCATCATGCATAGTTATTGCGCGGTTGATGTCTAACGCTCGGTTGTAAAGAATAGGGAGTTTCACTAAAACACCCAAAATGGGGGCTGAAATTATAAAAAAACTCAACACTCAAAACACTTTATAAACACACCCAAAACCCATCATTACACACACTCAAAACCCATTTATAAACATACCCAAAAATATACAATTGTTGATTTTAGGGTTGATTTTGGGTGTGTTTCTATGTTTAAATAATACTTGGGTTTTTTTATAAATACATGTCTAGAATTGGGTTTATTTATAAATTTGTATAAAGGGTATTCCTGTTCTAGTATTTACAAGAAAAAGTTTAGCCAAAGTCATATACCATGTCGACATGATAGAAGATGATGTGGCAATAACCCAGTAGGAAGGTGTTGGGCCTAAAAAGAGGAAGGCCCAAATTCAAAACAAAACTAGGGGCTCGAGCCCAAAAACCAAAGGCCCTGGCATAATGGGCTAGGCCCAAAAACATATCACATGCCCAATTTTAACTTTATATTCCAAAAGTATGAGGCCCAAGATTGGCCCAATCTGATTTCATGAAACTCTATCAAAAATTTTAGGTGTTCCAGATACACCACGTGGCTAGTGTATCATCCAATAGATGGAAGACATATGGAATATTTGCAATTTAGACCGCCACATGTTATAAAAAGAAATGCAGTAAGTTAGACAATAATTCCACATGTCCTATGTTTATTGGATGGTACACCAACCACGTGGTGTACCCGGAACATGTAAAATTTTCTCCGAAGTTAGAGCTCCTCCCCAAATTGAGCAATACTATTGCATTCGCTTAAAGCAAGGGTTTTATTTTTTAATTTCTTGAGAGATATAAACACATGCATGTGATGCGATCTTCATTTGTTAACTGTTGCAAATGTACTGGTTTGATACACATTGTGGTCGCCTATGAACGAGAATGAACAATCGCACGTGATCACATTGAAGTTAGAGAGACCAAACAAAGCCTCAAAAGAGAGACTGAGAGAGACTAATTGATATTGCGCTGCAACCAATCCCCTCCATCAATCCAAGAAACGTTCAGAAAAGTTGAAGCTTGTGTGTCATTCAATTTCTGTACAAAAGGCGCTCGCATGGTCACATTGGCTCCTGCACCAGAACAATTGTATTCTCCATAGAATATGGTCCTGCATGCATATATATAATTATTTGGATTAGATTAATTATGGGAAATTAATTATGTTGTGTTTGTTGCTCTCTCTTTTTTTTTTTCTTTTTTTTACGTACTGGTCTCTTGTTGGGTCGTTGAAATCGTTCCAGCCTTCAGGAGCTATAATGTCAGCCATTGTTGTCTTGACGAAAACCACTCGTGAAAAAGGCCTCCATGCTCGACCCAACCACACTCTTCCAGTCCCTCCGATAAAGCAGTTGACAAATGCAAACCCAGTGTTGTCGTCCTTGGAAGCTCTGCCGTGCGCTGTGATGGCGCCGTTTACGTTCCTTGATCCTGGAGGGAGTGGATTTGCAATGGAGATCAACTGGCAATTCTGTGTCAAACAGTTCATGCAACAATTTGATCATAAGCATTTTAGGCACATCATGACATTGACAATAATATCCCACATTGCTTTTTGAGAAAAACCTTCTATATTGTATATATGTATATATATCTCTCTCTAACCGCATTATAGTCACGTGATGAGAGATATTGAATGATTACATTGTTAACTCATCTTTTAATAGAGATGGGTGGCTTCTACTCTTTCATAAAGATGCATACGTAATATATGAATATTATATTTATTAGAGACGTGATCAATAATATGGCCTGTAAATGTATATCGTTGATAGAAGTTATGCACACACCCCTCTTTCATGTCATGACATTTGCATATGAGTGGTAACATAGTTGTTACACAAATTGCCAAATTTTATGAAGAACTCAGCTGTTTTAGATCATATGGTCTCCCAGATATCGTTTTTTTTTTAAAAAAAATTGTGCAGAGAGCTGAGATGAATTATTATACCTCATAGAATGACCTTCCATTGCCAAAGATGAAATCAATGGAACCCTGTACATAGCAATCCTTAAAGTAATGGCGGCCTTTATCATCATGAAGGGTGTCTTGGGCTCCAAAGAATCCACAACCCAAAAACGCAGCTTGGTCTCCTGATATTCTAATCGCTACAGCTTGAGCTCCAATATCACCAGGGTTCGGAATTGGAGCCACATTCTTTTTATACAATTCCCATTAGGACATGTGTTAGTTAGTGTACATTAATCATACCATAAAATTAATATTAATGCAACTTTCTTACCATGAAGCTTATGTTCTTAGCAACAAAGTTGTCAGCAAAAACTTGAACAGAACCGCTATAAAATGTGCCATGAGATGAATTGGCTGTGTCATTCCAAGCAATTGCAGTCGATTCATACCCTTGTCCTTGAAATGTTATGTTGGGTTTGTTTTTCGGAATCAAGATTTTCTCACTATTAAAAATTTACAACAAGAACAAAAATTAAAAATACTCAAGAGATCAAAGAAAGAAAGAAAGAAATTATCTTTTGAATGAAAGAGTTGGAAAAGAAAGCCAAATGAACTTACTAGTAAATCCCATTATTAATCCAAATTATTGTTCTTTTCTGGCTAAGAGCTGGAGCTGCATCAACAGCTGCTTGAACCAGTGTGAAATTACAACAGCCATTTCGATCGACACAAAGGTAGGAGGTTTTGTTGGTGTCTGGAGGAGGAAAGCCACGTGGGAAGTCATCACAGATGGATCCCATGGTTCCATTGTCTTGCTTTTTGTGATGTCTTCCTATGTGGTTTGGGATGAGATATGAAATCAAATTAGACACTGATGAAGTTGTGGCCAGACTAAGATCCACAATGTGTTCAAGGGGTGATGAGTTTGGATCAATGACATGTCTAGATGCCAATAAGACTGCAAAGATGGCAACAAAATATGTAAGGCATGTGGTATTGAGGCTCATTTTTTTTGGTTGAATTGTGGCTCATGTTAGGCTGGAGAGGATGAGATATTTTAAATGGAAGGTTAAATAGGCATGCACTTGAAGTGAAAGAATTGATGGAATGTCTTGCAAATCACCCTGTCCCTGTATATCTTAAGAGTATGCATTTCCAACCTAGCTACCAAACTTTTTTTTTCCTCAACAAATACAATTACTATTTAAAACTGTATTTTTTACGGGAAAAAAAAAAAATCTCAACACTTGCGGAAGATTCATAAGTTACAGACTGATTCGGGGTCTGAGTCTGGGTCTGGTTTAGTAACTGGGTCATTCTTGAGGTCAATTCTTCTACGATCGGGAACCCTACCCTTCCATGCATTGCAATTGGGAAAAGTATTGGCATGTCCGGCTGTGGATTCGTTGGACAAAGCCCAGTAGACCAACACAGCCCATTTTTAACCCAAATTTGTCTTTAAAAGTGAAAACAAACCCATTATCTTAGACCAATTTCAGAAGTGAAAAAAGAAAAGGAAGAGAAGTTTACTTGTCACTTTCTTTTGGATCAATTGTTTTTCTTCCAATATAACTTCCTTCTGTGGTTTGGTTGTAAGCAAAGGCAAACACAAAGTATGTAAACCTTCCATTTTAAGTAACATATAAGTTATCGAACAAACCTCACCCTAACCACATAAAGCCAGAAAATTAGTGGCAGTTTCAAACCAACAAGAATTCACAGAAAGTGCTAAATCAGCACTTGGATCCACTAAAAAGTCAATATCACAAAATTCTCAGCTGCAAACGATTTGCTGACTCTTTTCTCGGTTCTCCAACAAAGGTAGTTTACTTACTTAGTGGAGGAGTTTATGCGCTCTACGATGACCATAAAAGGGAGCTCACCTAATCTTAAACCCATCTGCTAAATGCAATTCATTATGAGAATGTTTGGAAGTCTTTCCAAATAAAGCTTCATTGTGTTCCTTTTTTCCTCAATTACCATCTATATATTACATCCAAATGAAATGAAAATTTCATCCAAGAGAAAGAAAAGAAAGTATATAATAGTTGTATACACTTGCATTTTATCTCATAATAAGTGGTCACACATCAGATGATAAAGTGTTATAAAAAGAAAATTGTATATACATACGTTACAGGTAAGTTTTTGACTCTAAATGATGTGACGTCGATAAATAGTGGAATGTAGATGAGTTTTTTCTAATGTTAAATTAACACGGTTCTTTGAAAACGTAATATATCACAATGCATAAATAAATAAAAAAGTTTTATTCTTAATCATGGTCGGATTATCAATAAAAATCCACGTGTTTGACATAAGTTTGAAAGTTGAGGCTTGCTAATGATGCTCCCCGGACGAATGAAACTACAAAACCAATCAGAGACTGATGTAATCTTGGGGAATCAAAAGGCACCCATTTGAAATTCAAATAAGCAAAGATTAGGGCATATATATTTTTGACTTTGTAAAAAGTACTGCAATTTCTGCTTTTTCACGCCAAAATTTGGGTCCCATGATGACCTCGCATTCACCCCCTCTTCCCTCTTCTTTTCGCACTCAAACAAAAATCTCTCCCAATCAAACGATTAGCAGCGCCGGACGCGCCACTCCCGCTGCCGCTTTTTAAAAAAAGAGATTTTGCACTCTTTTTTTTTTTTTTTTTTTTTTTTCTCTCTTTCTTTTATTCTTAACCCGTTCTATTTTTTTTTATTATTGAAAAAATTGTAAAATCCAAGGTGAGCATATATAAGTTGGGAAAAAATAACAGAAAAAAGAAGTGATATTGTCACACCAATGTTGATTTCAACATGTAGATCACCAAATGCTTGAATCGATTTGGTTTTATATAATATTACTATAGCGTGTTATTGTCATCTTCATTTACTTTTCTCACCCTTCTTAAGTTTCGTAAATAGCATAAACTTCAAATATTAAGGGCCCGTTGGATAACAATTTCAATTTTAGTTTTTAGTTTTCATTCTTTGTGCTAGAAAAAAGATGAAGAATGGAAGTGAGAATGAGAGTGGAGAATGAATTGAGAGGGAAGATAAGAGGGGAAGATGAGATGGAAGAGTAACAAAATTGAAAACCAAAACTAAAAACTGAAATCTATTTGAAATTATTTTTACTTTTGTTACTTTTTCCTCTCGTCTTCTCTCTCAATCTCATCATCAGTCTCATTTTCTTCTCTACTTCTGCAAAAAAAACAAAAACTCGTTTTTAACTCATCTTCCTAAAATCCTATTTATTTGATTTTAACCTTGTTTTTCCTGTTCTTTTGCAGCTTTATAGACGATGTATAGTCCCATCCATGAAGCAGCGCTATGCTTAACTAAAGACCATTTTTATTAATTGATACACTAGCAACCATGTGGACTTTTTCTGGAACATGAAAATAAACAAATAATATATTAATTGTCATATGTTTATATACAAGGAAGGAAAAACATGCACGAAAATCTGGCATTAACCGCCGCCCCATCGCTTTTTTGTTTTCAATTGATAATACAAGTGATAATTTAAACTACAAGTGAGATGAGAATTTTTCACACATACTCTACCAATGTATTATGAAAAGTCGACTCCAAGACGTGTGATATGCAAGTAAGAGTCATTTTACCACATTGACTCTTTTAGTGCTATATTAAATTGCAAGACGTGATCAGAATATTTGGTAGTGTACTCCCCCCGCCACGCCAAAACAAAAACCTGCAAGCCACAACCCAAACCGAGAGAAAGAAGTGTAAAACGAACAAGGAAAATACAAAATGTTTAAGTAAACTCATGACAAATTCTGCCTTCATAACATATATACAAAATACCACTAAACTAACAACCATACAAAAAAAAAGTGGCTGTAGAGAATTCAAACTTGTACCTCTGCCTACTAAACTATAATATCTAGTTGACTAGCAGTATTTATTTAAATGATCTAGATCGTTACAAGCTCATTTGAGAGGACTCATTTATTGATTGTATGTAAATGTACACACAAAAATTATAGATCAAGAAACAAGAGACTAATTAAATCTCTAACTTAGAAATTTAAAAGGATATTCAAAACAAACATGAAAAAAAAGAAAAGAAAAAAAAAGGGAGTTGTTAATTAGTACCCCAAAAAAGTTATGCACTCCTCCAAGCAGGGATGGCAAAAATTCTTGTCGGCGCGGGGATCCAACAAAGACCTAGCCTTAACGAGGGGAGATTTCGGGCAAAATGGGGAGCGGGGATGGTATTGACATCCCCATACTCGAACCCGATCCGATACTTATATGTTTATTTTTAAATAATAAATATATAATATAATATTCTGTTACCCTAGCATCTTCTTAGCACCTCCCAAACCCAAGTCATTCAAATCCACATCCAAATCCAAATCTGAGTTAAGTTCTGCAAAACAATTTCGTTGTTAAGTGAGCTGAAGTTTTTGCTTTCGAGAAGAGAAGTGTTAAAAATTAACTTGCCCGCTTGGGTAATTTACTTAAAGCTCAAAAGTTGCTGTTAGTAATAGTGATTTATGATTGATGTTGGTAGTAGCTTAGATTCCACCTTTGTATATATAACTGGGAATTTTAGTTCAAAGAAAATTAGATTAAATGAATAAACCAACAGTGCGAGTGTTTAGTTTTTATTTTTATTTTTATTAGACGACAACATTCTGTTGAAGGATAAAGATTATGCCTATTAGATTGCAAGTTCCTAACTTTGATTTTGATTTGGCTTATGTTCAATTTCAAGTTCTTGCACATGGACGTTCAAAGCGAGAGAGATCAAGTTATACAAAAAACACAGGGATTCGAGGGCAGGTTTGGGGGATAATCATCCGATGGGGATGGAGACGGTATTCCCTGAAACCTCTTAAATGGGGATGGGGTCGGAGACGGGGCCAGAGATGAAGAGCGGGGCCATCCCAGTCCCGTTACTATCCCTACCTCCAAGAGCAATCTCTTGTATTTTTATGATAGGGAGTCTCTTGTATTTTTATGATAGGGAGTGCACTATGACTTTTTTAAAGTATTCGTGAAAAAACACAGAATATTTGAGTCAAAATGACGATGAATTCTACCTTCATACATAGTATGATTCATATTATATATTGTTCTAGTAAACAATTCAAAAGCTTGGGACACACACACATATTCCACAGAAAATATTAACAAACTAATAACTAATTGCTTAACACCGGTTACTTAAAAGATCTAAATACTTCGAACTATCTATGAACTGAATCCCACAATCGAAACAATCAATCACATTTTGTTTTTGTGGCTCATTTGAGAGGACTCGTTTATTAATAATAACTTGACAAAACAGAGCATTTGGTACAAAGCATCTCTAAATTAGAAAATTAAAAGGATATTAAAAAAAACAAAATGAGAAAAAGGACCACAATGTATATATAAAAAAGAAGAAGACATTTGGTATCTGAATCTGTTGAAAAAGCATACATTATATTATATATATAGAAATATTGTTTCCGTATATATACATTGGTCAAGAATTGTGTCCCTATGATAAGTCAGTCTACCTAACTTTTCTGCTTTACGTCCCTCTCAAAACATGAAACTGCCACTCCTGTTCTCATTGGCAGCGTTAGAGCCGGGCCTGGCCGCAGACGGCACTTGGGACGACGACATACCCTCCCTCAAAAACTCATGATGATCAGCAACATGATCAGACGAACCCCCAAATCCCATGTTTGTGGGTCCTCCTCTTGATGATGAGCTCAATCTCTGGAGAAACCCATCCCCAACTCCTGCACCAACCAAGTATTGCTGGTTCTGACGGTGTTGTTGTTGCTGGTACTGATGATGATGTTGCTGCTGCTGCTGAGGCTGTAGAGGATGATACCCCGGAGACACCATAAAGCCCTGTGGCCTAGGCGGGGCCAGCCCGAAACTAAAACTGGACCCACCTGAGGGAAACGACGCCGTGTTAGGGCCCCCGGTGAACTGCTGCACCATGGCACGGAAGTTCGTAGTGTCCGTGTTGAGCAGCGTGGTGGGGGTCCGTCTCGAGGCTCTAGATCTCTTTCGGGCGGGTTTCGAAACCCGCCCTTGATCCGGGCTCAAACTGTTGGTGCTGGAACCCGGATTGGAGGAGCCAACGGCACTTGTTGTGGCGGCAGCGGATGGAGTTGTGGTGACCACAGTGGCTTCAGAGACTTGGTCATGACCAAAAAAAGTTGAAGTATTAATACCTGAAGAAATGTGGCCATGAGACACCTGACCTTGAGAAGAAGACAAGGTTTGGTTGTAGAATTGGAGCCAGTCATTAGGGTTATTGGACATGGTTCCAGTACCACTCATGACCATACAACAATGTGATTCTTGTGTTTGAGAGAGAGAGAGAGAGAGAGAGAGAGAGCGAGAGAGAAAGGGTTTTTGGGTTTTCTTTGTTTTGGGTTAGAGGGAAGGAATAAGATAGTAGGGGTAAGCTATTTATGGAGGCTTGAATGGGGTCAAAGGAAGACTTTTCGGGATGATCTTGACCGTTGATTTTAGAAAGATAGGTCTGAGGTCACGTGACATAGCACGTGGGGTGATGGTGGTGGGCTGTGGTGGAATAATATACACTAACACCCCTTGAGGTTTTCGGTGTTTTCACAAAACCCCCTGACATTTTTAAACTTACATGAACGCCCCTTTAATTCTTAAATTGTTTTTAGAAAACCCCTTTCTATTGATTTTTAGTCCAAAAATTAATGATTTTATATAAAAAAATTCTTGAAATGACAAAGTTAGTTTTGAAATTAGATTGCACATATATTCATTGAAGTTACTTTTGTTATTTACAGAAGATTTTATGTATGAAATTATTAAATTTTGGATGAAGAATTAATGTAAGGGGGTTTTCTGAAACTAAATAAAAACCTCAAAAAATATTAGCATAATTTTTAAAATTTTAATAAATTTTGTAAAAACACCGAAAACCTCGATTGGGGTAACTCCTTGAAATAATGTAAATATAAGGTTTCTGGAAGGTGAAGTCTTTGTATAGAAAGTGTGCGTGTTGTTGCATGGTTTCCCGGAAGCAACATAAAGGCCAGACGCCACGTCAACTTTATCGCGATGACATCATGGTCGAAGGTGGCCACCTCATCGTGTGATTGGTGATGGTGGACCGTGGTGGTGGTGGAGGTAGGTGACTCGTGGCACTTAGGAGACGTTGGGTTTTGGGCCACAGAGAAACAACCGAGCGCCTTCCTTTCAAGCCTTGTTTTGTCGTTTTACTTGATGCTCGGTCGTTTTTGGCACAACTGGCCCGGACTCCACATAAAATAAAATAAATGAAAACCTAGTATATTTAATAAAAAAAATTTCCTTTTTAAAGTATGTACTCTGATAGTTTCAGATCCATTAATAGCAATTTTTTTCCTTGTTAATTTTACCAAATTATAAAAAGATAAGACTCATTGAGGGGATAACTGAGGGCCACTTGGAAGTCGTTTGTCCTTTCTTTGGTTAAAAAGTCAAGCTTGTTGAGCACCTAGGAACGAAGGCATAGGTCACAACAACTAAATGAATTATTGGTTTCTTTTTCGTTGCAATGGTATATTTATTTATGGCTAATCACAATTGCAAGTTCTGATTAGGGTTTCACAGTAAGTTAATCACAATAATTGAATACGATTCATATTAAATGGAAGGACGGTTGAATTTCTATGGTTTTTCAAAGAGGAAGAAGGGTTTATCCCTAAATCTAAAATCGTTGGGTTTCTTTTCTTTTTTATTTTATTTGTGTGAAATTCTTTTATTTATTTTTTATTATAACAAATTATGTAATTAAAACAGATGAGACGGCAAATATGTTGGTATTCAAAAATTAATAAGTAAATTGGTGTCCGTAGCATATTATAATAATAATAAGAAAAAGTTTGGAATCTCTTTTGGGTTTGCAAGATCATTTGAATTGAGGCCAGTTGCGGCCTGAATATTGTTAGTAATTCAACCCCTAAGCACCTAAACCTACCAGGTTTAGGCCAATAGGCCAAAAAGGAACCCTGCAACATAGGGCCTAATCTTCTAATTAATAATAAAAAAAAGGTGATTGAGGTTTTCTTCAAAGATGAAAATACTTTATAGGCCAAGCATTTCTCTTTTACACATACTTGTAGTGCTGGCTGGAGCCCAGCTGATGCAGCCATAGCCTAAATTAGCCCTCCATTGTCAACTTTATAGGGATTTACAATTGTGAATTCTCCAGAAGATTAAGACCAGACCTTTTAAGATGTGCCTGTGCATTGGCTTGTGTCTCATATCCCGAAACAAAGCATTTTTAAACCAGAAAACACATGAACCAGAAAGATAAATAAAAGAAGTCAAATCGAAGTCATTGCTGATTCGTTTTCCATTTCTTCTGTGTGTTGATGGATGTAGACTTTTCTACTTTGAATCTTCTTTGGGTTATTGTTACGTCAATTTGCTTCACCTTAACAATGACCATTCATCAAGCAAGCACGCTGGTGTGGATGTTCATAACAAAATATCAAATTAGCTTTGAAAATTTAATGTTCAATCAAGAGTCTTAATCCTTACGCCTCAAGGTCTATGCCTCACCTCACAAGACATAAAACACCTCGCATTTCAAAACCCTAATCCACACGCAATTACATGTCTTTAATTAAGGATACACAAAACTTCATGCATTTATTTTGAAAATTTTGTAACATATCTAAACAATTTTTTTTTTTGTGTGTGGAACTTTGTATATATGAATTAAGATGGGTTGCTTCTTTTTTTTTCTTTTCCTTTGAACTCACATGCAAATTGGTCTTCAATTTGCCTCACAAAATGATAAACTGAAGTCTCATCTCTCAACCAGCAGAAGGAGAGTCAAAGAAGAGAACATGTGTTAGGCAGGGATATATGACAAGATTTAAGAATATAAATACAAGACAGTGATATCAAAATTCAAACAGATGACGGCCTTATATATTTAGCACACGTTCCTTTTGACCACTGACCAGTATTCAGTTTTCTTAAAATGTCTCCATAAGGCTAGGCTAGACTACAACTCAATCTGCGGCAACATTGACTAACTGGTTTCTTCTTTTACTGTCTGTTAAAGTCCATCAACCTCCCTTCCCTACTGATGTTAAAAGTATCCCAGTCTCTGAAACATGGGAATGGCTTCTCCAATGTGTGTGAAAATGGGTTCTGATCCCTCAGACAATTCAGTAATTTTACCAACCGATCTTCTTCTCTACGTTTGTCTCCACTCTCAGCTGTTTATATTGTCTGCACTCTGTAGTCGGTGAAAAATAGTCAATGTGGGCCATCCTTACACACAACCCGGGAATCTGGATTTCCCCGCTTTCAAATTTGTCAACAACTTTATTGGTTGGGAATAGTCAACAAAAAACATACATATACGAATGAACTATCTCGTGCATCTAGCCATCCTTGAATAAGCCACGAAATGTGATGTGTTAGGATCAGTCGTTCACACTCTATTGCTCATAAGGTTACTCACTCTTCGGTGTATGGTCCCTTTAGCATTTCTTTTAATGAATTGATGTTTGTAATTAGACACCTTTTCGGTCAAGTACAACGCATAAACAGTTGAGAATAGTCCGTGCGTGCATGAACAGTTGAGAATAGTCTATGCGTGCTGCGTGCTGCGTGCTGCGTGCATGAACATTGCAGTCAGAAGTTCTTTTGTTGAGTTGATAGCTGCAATTAGAAACCAAAGGCCCAACAGTCTTGGGTTTATGAGTTATGATTAGGCCCATATATAAAATAATCCTGGGCCACTAACTACACGCAACGCTAAGGAATCATAGGAGCAGTGTTTACCAAACGGAAGTGGACTCACTCAACTAAGCATGAAGAAAGTGAACAAGGAAGCAGACAGCCATTTACTAATTCATTGATGAATTTGTGCACTTTGTTAGGTCAGGCTCTGGATCCTAATTTTTAGTGGGGCAGGCAGGCAAATGAGTGTGACAAAAAAGTAACCACCCACAAATTCTTTTTTCTTCCATGTTTGTTTATGTCATCCTTCCAACATTTTAGTGTTGTGTATGGCTCTGTTGCAAATATCCCAAGTACTAAAATATCCGCAGCTGAACCCACACTGCTCAAAACTCTAAGAACTGTCTGCTGCTTATTGCCTAATGGCCATGGCTGGTTACTCTCTGTTGCATCCCTCTCCCCCAGCTCTTATTAATGTCAACTTTCAGAGAAGTGAATTTGGTCATTTCCACTCTTCAACCACCACTCATCTTCTCAATTCCAAGTCCACCACTCATCCTATCAGGTATTTCTCTTTCTTCAACTGTTGCTGATAGTGTTTTCTGCAGTAATAACATGATGGTCATATACTCATTTAAGCAGTTAAAACATTTTCTAGCTTCTGGGTTTCTTGGAGAAGTTGATATTTCAATTACAATTTAAATGTTTTAGTTTCTTTACATGAGAGAGAGAGAGAGAGAGAGAGAGAGAGAGAGAGAGAGATTCTAACTTGTGTTTCTGCTTCCTATTCCACAATTTCTGGGAACCCAGCGATTCTCCCCTTTTTTTTTTGCCTAGCTTATAATTTGTGTTTTCCTTTTCTTCCTGCAATCGGTTTGGCATGCTTTCTCCGTATGTTTTATCTGAATTCAATAGAAGAAAAAGAAAAGACAAGAAAAATTGAAACTTGTATTTCAGTTTGTTTCCCAGAGAAAAAGAAAACTCTTTGAAGTATGTTTGTACAATATAAACAGAGTGAGTAATGAGTACCATGTAGCTTGAGCAGAATATATTGGACTTCCTATTTCTTTTCCGTTTTACGCCTTATGTTTATTGTAGAATTATGGAATATGATGTGAATTTTCTGAATGTAGGTGCCAATCAACTAGTACTGATGAACCAAAAACAAGAAGAAAGTTACTGGACAATGCAAGCAACCTCCTTACCAATTTTTTGAGTGGGGGAAGCCTTGGGTCTATGCCCATAGCTGAAGGTGCAGTCTCGGATTTGTTTGCTCGGCCTCTCTTCTTTGCATTGTATGACTGGTTCTTAGAGGTATGCATCCTTCACAAATTTTGGTCTTTGGATCCTTCAATTTAAAGTGTACTTTACTGTCATGAATTCATGTTTGATGGCTGCTCTGCTGGTTGATTGGGTTTAGCCCCCTTGGATGTGGGTTGTAGTAGGGTAGACATGGAGACAGATGGTTGGGTAGAGAGGTTCAATCAATTGTTCATTTTCTTGTTTGAGATTAAAATTTCGATGGCATATACAGATAAAAAAATCTGAGTTTTCTGGAGTACCTTGCAGCTGTGGGGACTGGGACTTTGTTATTTGGGCCTTCTGAGCACTACTGTTCATAATTATTTTCCTTTTCTCTACAAACTTTTGTTTGTTTTGGCAGCATGGCTCCGTGTATAAGCTTGCGTTTGGACCAAAAGCATTTGTTGTTGTATCAGATCCTATTGTTGCAAGGCATATTCTTCGAGAGAATGCATTTAGTTATGACAAGGTAATACCTAATAATATGCTTCTGGACTCCCCTCGTTTAACAAGAGTTTGTTTTGTTGTTTCTATTTTCATTCTCCATGTGTATAATGTACTCATTGTCAGTAGATTATGTTCCTTTATAAATAAAGTTTTCAAATCATAGTCTTGATTTGGTATCTTTACTCAAAAGTTACTTTGCTCACACCATTTGTTTGAACTGACAGTTTATATGGATAACCTTTGCAAAACAGTGTTATGCTCCATCCTGGCCCCCCTCCTCTCCCCCTCTCCTCTCTCCCTCTCCTCTCTCTCCCTCCCCACCCATTGATAAACAATATTAGTTTATCGCATAACATTTGCTATCATGTTTAACCTTTTTTCAGTTGGGTTCATTTAATTTTGAATTATTTTCTAATTTCCTTTTAGTCATCTCAATCAGTTAAGCAAGAATAAGATATACAGATGTGTATATATATTTAATTTTTAAGCTGTTTTACTCCACTCATTTTTACTTATTCTAATCTGCTGTGCCCAAATTGGTTGTGGTTTCACACTTGTACTTAGGGAGTTCTGGCTGATATTCTAGAACCAATAATGGGCAAAGGACTTATACCTGCTGATCTTGGTACTTGGAAGCAGAGGAGAAGAGGTGAGTAGTAACAATTAATTTTTGTTTCTACAGGGAAAAAAAACAATTAATATTTTAGTGTTTGCACCGCAGGTTAGGGCAAAGAGTAAGGTATTTGTATTTGAAGTTTGTAACTTATAGCGGTCCATTATACAGAGACTTACCAGCCATAAGCTGATTTTGCAGTTATTGCTCCCGGGTTCCATTCCTTATACTTGGAAGCAATGGTTAAAACATTTAGAAATTGTTCAGAGAGAACAATATTAAAATTTGAGAAGCTTCTAGAAAGAGAGAACTTGCATGATGAGAAGACAATTGAGTTGGATCTTGAAGCAGAGTTTTCGAATTTGGCTCTTGATATTATTGGACTTGGTGTCTTCAACTATGACTTCGGTTCTGTTACTAAAGAATCTCCTGTAATCAAGGTTTGGCAAAAGGAACATTTATTCTAATGATTTTGTAATGGTTGTATCTGGCATTCAGCGCATTCCATCATGATGTCTTTTTTCAAACCAACATTCGGTTTTCTTATTCTGTTGTCTATACATCTTATAGAAGTTCTTATTCTACCAACTTCTGGAGTGAACTAAAGTGTACAATCAAATCACTGAATAGAATACTAATATACTTTTTTCTTTCTTTTCTTTCTAAATAATTGATTTTTTCTTGCCAAGCTTCTAAATAGTTGACTAATTATTGTGAACTGTTACTCTATTTGAGTATATGATATCACACTTTTTCCCCTTTAATTATTATTATTATTATTATTAGATATTGATTTAGCATTCATGTTATTATGCTTAATGCTAAGCGTTCATATTCAGCTCTTTTGCAAATACATTACAGGCAGTTTATGGCACGCTTTTAGAAGCTGAACATAGGTCCACCTTTTATATCCCATATTGGAAATTTCCCCTGGCAAGGTGGATAGTCCCCAGGCAACGGAAGTTCCGTGGTGATCTGAAGGTTATAAATGATTGTCTTGATGGACTTATCAGAAATGCAAAAGACACCAGACAGGTTAGATGAAACTTAAGCTGAATTAAGTGGACGTGGGAGAATATGTAATATCATATCTACACAGTCGTGCAAAAATTGATGTTTTATTGTATTATTGGAAACAGATGTTAAAAAACTAATTTTCCAGTACCCAGAACTTTATTTGATCACATTCTGTGACAGGAGACGGATGTTGAGAAACTGCAACAAAGGGACTACTTAAATCTGAAGGTGGGAAAACCTCCAACTGAAAATATAATCCAATTTTTCTGAACTCTATTTATAAGTGATACAGTTAGGAGCTTTGCATAAGGGTTAAAATTCTGGCATTGTAACTATAAAGTTTGCAGGATGCAAGCCTACTGCGTTTCTTAGTTGACATGCGTGGAGCTGATGTTGATGATCGTCAGGTAAATACTTGCAAAACTTTAATGCTTTTAGATACAGGATTTCTGACCAAAATAATGAACATATATAGGATAAACTGATGTATCAGTACTTGTTCGATCACATTATTCCAACTGATCCAAATAGGGGTTTTCTTTTATTTCCCCTTGCACTTCATCAATGCCATGCTTTTTCTGTCTTTCTTTCTTTCTTCGCTCCCCTCCCCGCACTCCCATTTGAGGTGAATTCTCAGTTGTACACCATTATGGATTGGACCTGTTTTGAGACAGTGGTTCTCTTTGGGCATTCATAACATTACCTGTGGATTTTGACAGCTTAGGGATGACTTGATGACAATGCTTATTGCTGGCCATGAAACGACAGCTGCTGTCCTTACTTGGGCTGTTTTCTTCCTTGCACAAGTATGATTCTTCATTTCTAACTTAAATTCTTCAGAATAAAGTTATGCTTAATGTTTGTTAATGGCTTCTTTGCACCACTGAGCTCTTTCATCCTCACATATGTGACGACATAGATGAAATTCACTTGCTTTGTTGCAGAACCCATCCAAGATGAAGAAAGCACAAGCAGAGATTGATTCAGTACTTGGACAGGATGGACCAAATCTTGAATCAATTAAAAAACTGGAGTATGCCCCTAAGACATTTACTGAACTTGTTCCATTCACTTGTATATGCACTGCATTTATCATTGAAGCAATGAAACTCATCAATATTTAGTTATGTAGCTGGATTTGAGGTCAAAGTTGGGTTAGAGGGGAAAGGAGAATGAACTGAATTTTGAACATTGATACAAATGGGAGGGGCAAGTCTGTGAATCATCTTTCGATGCATTTGCCGGTGGCTCAGGAGATTAGGAGCTTTGTCTTCTTTATCTGAATGAACTCTAAGCCTCTAACAGGTTTAAACAGGTTTGAACAAGGCTTTCCAATCTCATTTTGAGCTTAAGTGAACCCAGAAACCACCAATGAATGCCAAGCTGAGGCACAATGATTACTTCAACTTGCCTCTTTTTCACCCTTATTGGAATCTCAAAGTATAATGATGTTATTCATGTGGTTTTTTCCTTTCTTTTTTTCTTTCAGGTACGTAAGACTTATTGTAGTAGAGTCGCTTCGTTTATTTCCCCAGCCCCCCTTGCTTGTTAGACGTTCTCTCAAGTCAGATACACTACCAGGTATTATTAAAATGGTCTTCTATACCTTCAGATGAAACTTGAAGTTTTACGACATTGTGTTTTATGGATTTATTTTCTTTACAAATCATACAACAAATATTTATTTCTGGTCAAATCTAGGATAAGAAAGGGGCTTTATATCCATTGTGCAGGAGGGTACAACGGTGAAAAAGATGGTTATGCGATTCCTGCTGGGACTGATATCTTCCTTTCTGTGAGTACAGCATTTAAGTTCCTCCTTTATTTATGAATTTCTTTAAAATATAAATTGCAACTGCTCCTTAGTTAAGGTAATGCTAAGTCAGGGCCTCAGCTATATCTATCAATGTGGTACTTCCATGAGCTTGATTCTATGCTCTAAGCTTGCCTGGCACTTTCTCTTACAATCCATAGTTTTATATTCCAAAAACTTTCCACTCAGGTATACAATCTCCATAGATCTCCATATTTTTGGGACAATCCTAATGAATTTGAACCAGAGAGGTTTTTAGTGCCAAAGAAGAGTGAGGTTGAAGGATGGGCTGGTTTCGACCCTTCTCGAATTCCCGGTGCATTGTACCCAGGCGAGGTTATTACTAGTCACTTCCCCTTTCGAATCATACATTCATGTTCTCACATTGATGACATCTATCAAGTAATGACTTTATGATTGCAATTATCAGATTACAGCAGATTTTGCCTTCTTGCCTTTTGGCGGAGGGCCAAGAAAATGCGTAGGAGACCAATTTGCCCTCATGGAGTCAACTGTAACATTGGCTATGCTGTTGCAGAAGTTCACTGTAGAGCTAAAAGGGTCTCCAGAATCCGTGGAACAAGTTACAGGGGCAACAATCCATACAAAGAATGGATTGTGGTGCAAATTAAGGAAGAGGTCCGATGTACAGTGACTTACGGAATACGATATACAGATGGGACACTGATAGGAATACTGATGATAATTGTCCAGTGTATTCTTCTTGTTACCACTTACCAGCTACAGGCTTTGAACTTAACAGAATTATTTTCTTTTTTGAGAATAATTTTGTTAGCAATGAAAACGGAAGAAGTTGCATTGTCCAACAAATCCACAATGGTAATAAACGCAAACTGCGTCAGACTTTTGCAGGGATAGTTTTATAATTTGATTGAACTTGAACATAATTTCATGTCACTATGTGAGAGCAGAAGGAAAGCAAATACACGATCCTTTTTTCAGTTTTCAAACAAACTTTGCACGAGGCAAGCATTGACTACCTTCTCGTGCAAAATCCAGAAGTCGGTCTGGTCAATGATATCACATTTCTGATGTCTTTGTATACTAAGAGCTGTTGAACCAACACATATCACAGTTATCCATACAATAGTTTACAGATATTAAGTAGGCATAGATTTATTATATTCTAACCCTAATATATATACGAGTCTAAAAGTTGGCATGCAGGTTCAAAAGAAAAGATAAACGTAGTGGATTACGGTGCGACATAAATTCTATTTATATCTATCGAACATCTTTATGTACAATTGTTCAATTATAAAAATTAAAAATACAAAGAAACGTCTATATCAGCCAAAAACAAAAACAAAAAACTTGCTTATAAGAGTTCAATCTTTTTTAATCTCCGTTTACAAACGTGAGGCTTAATTTTCAACTGGGCACTAGTCTTCATCTCAATGGATGGCCATGGTCTATCGGCTATTGCGTTTGGTGCTTACCGTGCGGGCGCTTTGATGCATTGCCGTGAAAGTGCGAGGAGCCTGCAGAATGTTCCTGCAGCCAAAGAGCCATAAAGCTCATGAGATGAAAATCCAATGCCAAATAGAAAACCAGGGTCCAATGGGACTACTTAAATGCCCACCATATCTTGCAGATTGCCCTGAATGTCAAAACAGCTCTGTACAGTTGGTGGTCTGAAACTAAGTTGACCCTGCAATTAAAGAAAGAGGCCCCAAAAGAAAAATACTGCTTATTTAGTAATTCTATGTGATGAACCATACTGCTTCATAGAATGCCAAGAACCAAACAACCTGTACCATTCCTCGCATACTCTGTTGGGTCCCATAGTGACCAACACGTGTTGGTAATGAATGCAACTGTCCCTGTAGAAAATCAAAAGAAAATGTTTGCCTTCTGTTATTTTTTTTTAATGAAAAATCATCAGGGTCAGAACAAAGGCATGGATTGTACCTGTGTGGCCTGCTGATTGCCATAATAACCATCACTGATAGGAGCAATTGAGTTCAGCTGTCCCTGATATACAAGTAATAAACAATCCTCGACATAAATTTCTCAATTAGAACTTTAAGAGCTGTAGTCAGGAAGAAAATATGTCATACCATTCCTGGCATACTCTGTTGAGCACCGTAATAGCTATCAAGACCACGAGATCTTGAACCATGTTCCTGCAAAAACACATAACATCCCATTTTTAAAAAATTCATAATAACAAATTGTAATACTGCAGGGTGTATGCATATCGACAAGCTCTTATTGCAATATCTCGGAATAACTTGGGTGTTTCATATTACCCCTTCCAATTCTTGCTGAGGAACGTAACAATTATCACGGTTATGTGCTCTGGATTTCATCTGTTCCTACATTTAAATCCATAATGAAGTGTACTATAATATATTACAGTCCAAAACAAACAAATTCTCTGTGAGTGAGAAATTCAGAACAAAAGTGATCATGAGACAAACCATCTGCTGGCAGCTGTCTTGCAACCTGATAGTTACGCTATCTTGTTCAGTCTGCGCCTACAGTATACATAAAATATACCTCAGGGCACATATCAATTAGGATGACCCAGAAAATTATACAAGCCAAAGATCAAGCCTTAACCAACCTTTCTTTTTTTGTATGTTTTCTTTTTCTTAGAAGACTTTGCCATATTGCTGCTGGGATTGACTTCTTCCACGTCATTAAAACCATGATTAGCTGACATGTTCGCTTCGGAAACAGTTCTTACAGAATTATTGGCATCCACACAATGTTTCAATGCTGCCTCTAATGCCTGAAATGCAATGTGGTAAGTTTCTGGAGATAAAGACCCCTCTTCACCCAATTTAACAGCTAATTTACACAGATCGTTGAAACGTTGCACTCTGTAGTTAAGCCTCTTCGGTCCATCACTATCAGTACACCTAACTTTTGCATCCTTCGTCCAACGCTTCAAAATATAATGGGATGGGATACTGGAAACACCAGACACTTGGAGGACCAGAATTGCATGTCTGCAGAGAAAACCTTTGTATTCAAATGAATGACATGAACAACATACTTTTAATTCTGCATCATTCCAAGAAACAGTAAAATTTTGGCGTTCTTCCAAATCATCAACCCGGAAAATTGCAGTTGCTTCACTTTCACCGTCTTTCTGCAATTGACAAGAAGCTAGTCCCAAAACCTCGACCTTAAATTTTTTAAATACAGAACCTGTATAGATAGTTGCCATTTGTTTTTCAAAAGTTGAGAGAGATCTTAATCCAGGTTGTTTATCCTGTGTTTCAAGAGCAGCATTGACTTCCATGTCATACATATCTTTCTGAAATCCTTTGTACTGCTCAATAAAATCGTTAACTGTAGCTTCTTGAGAAATGTACCTATCAAAGAATGAAGTTATACTTCCAGATCGCTCCCTTGTAGACATTCCAGCCATAAATGAATCCTGCATATAAGTTGGAACCCACTTTTTACGATCTTCAAACAATGAGTGAACCCACTCATTTTCTCTTAGTTCAAATCTATCAACCAATTTCCACCATTTCTTTTCAAATTGTTCAACTGTCCAGGACCGGTAAATGCATTTGTTGAATTTTTCCATGAATATTTCATTCTCCTTTATGAAAAAACCCACATTTTCAGGAATCCTGCTCAATACATGCCATAAACAAAAACAATGGTATGCATCACTAAATACATCTGCTACAGCTTCTTTCAAGTATTTGTCTTGATCAGTGATAATCAGTCTTGGAGCTTGGCCACCCACTACTTTAAGCCATGTCCGCATTAACCAAACAAAAGCTGGGATGGTCTCTTCTCCCATCAATGCACATCCAAGCAAAATGTACTGGAAGTGGTGGTTGACTCCAACAATAGGAACAAAAGGAATTCTATAATTGTTTCTAACATAGTAAGTGTCAAAGAAGACTGCATCACAAAAACTACTATAATCATGCCTGCATTTTGCATCAATCCAAAATACACTTCTCAGTCGTTTTTCATGGTCAAAATCTATTGCATAGAAGAAGTTGGGATCCTCGTCCTGCATACACATAAAATGTTCGAACATTACTCTCACATCTTCCTCACCTAAAGCTGACTGTAGACCTTTCTTTTGGCAGGCAACAGTAGCAGGTTTCTTGTTTCTTCCACTGATAGCATAAATAAAATCATCTGGGCACATTTCATGGTTGTGCTCCTTTATGAAACTATGTACAACCCATTTCCCATCATCTTTCCTCTTTATATGCAAGCTAGCTTTGCAGTCTGTCTTTGTTATACATAGTCTTGGATTGATAGTTGTTCCAGACTCGCGCTTGCTTCCAAATCTAGAACATGCAATTTTTATATCAATGAACTTTCCTGATTTTTTGGAGCGCCGACTGGCTTTAATTGTGATGCCAAATCCCACAGACCGAGCATATTCTCTGTAGTAAGAATAAGCTTCTTCCTTAGACTCAAATTCCAAACCATTTTGGGGTTCCTGAATTACTCTCTTCCCCTCATCAACAGCATTCAACCCCATATTTTTCGCATCATCTTGGGCCTGCAAACTACAAGCACTTTGGTTTGCATCCAATCCATCCGCTTCTTTAACATGTTCACTCGTTGTTGGTGAATTAACATGCTCCCCAACATTTTTCTCATCTGTGACATCTACAACATTAACATCCTTATCTGAACCAGTTTCTAACTTGTCCTGCTCACATGAAGGCAGTTCAAGATCTATCTCCATAGAAGAAAACAAAGCTTATGCAATACAAAAGCTCATTTAATTTAATTACCTGAAACACAAAAACGAATTACAAAAGCCAGGCATTAATTATTGCTATACCAAACACTGTGCAAGTATCATATTTCTCACATATTATACCCTCCAGAATATTAAAACTAAAAAGATAAGAAATTTTAAGCTTATTAACACTCTAAAAGCTTAAAATGAATAAATAATTATGACAATTATAAAAACAATAAAATTCAAAGTAAATGTTCTTTGCTACCTATTTTGTACTCGGGATTCAAAATCTTAAAATAAATAGACTGAAAACAGAAGAATAATAAAAGAAAGGAAATTGGTAATTACCCCTTTCTTAGGGAGCTGAGCATCTCCACTCAGTTATGAGAAATTGTAAGACTTTGAGTTTTCCTTCAGTTTTTCTTCAACTTTCCAGAAACCAAACAGATAGTGAGTCCAAATACAGTGGCGAGAAATCAAGGTCAATGAAGCAAAGAGGGAACCATCAGAGTGCAGTGGTTGCACCTGCGCAAGTCACACACCACGGACAGACTGAGAGAGAGATAGATTCAAGTCCGAGACCGAATCATAATTGGTCGGGTTCAAGTTCGCGGGTATTTGTTTTGGGTCGGTTTTATATTTCACAAAAAAAAGAAAAAAAAAGAAGAAGAAGAAAACTTCTCAATTCCTATTAACCGTGATAAAGTAATTATTTAACAATGCACATCACAATACTCATTAGGAACGCTAATACCCTTCTTTCTAACCTTTTCTTTTGAATCTTCTTTATTTTTCTTATAACACGTGTCACTTCTCTCTCACTTAAAACAATATTTTTAATTACCAAAACAAACAATAAATAAAAATAAAAATAATTGAAGAATTTGTTTATTTTATATTTTAAACAAACAATAAAAATAATACAAATTTATAAATAAACCCAATCCTAGACATGTATTTATAAAAAAACTCAAGCACTATTTAAACATAGAAACACACCTAAAATCAACCCCAAAATCAACAATTGTATATTTTTTGGGTGTGTTTATAAATGAGTTTTGAGTGTGTGTAATGATGGGCTTTGAGTGTGTTTATAAAGTGTTTTGGGTGTGTTTATAAAGTGTTTTGGGTGTTGGGTTTTTTTATAATTTCAGTCCCCATTTTGGATGTTTTAGTGAAACTCCCTAAAAATAATGCAAATATGGAAATACACTTAATATTTTTTCAGTTATTAAAAACATTGTTTTAATTTTTCAGTGAGAGAGAAATGACACGTCATGAAGAGAAGGGAGAAGGCCCCCAAAAAAAGGTTAGAGAAAAAGTTATTAGCATTCCCCATATTCAATTTTGTCTTCTTCTTATTGAAAAACTCATAATCCAACCATGATCCCACTCGAGGGAGGCCCATTAATCCCTAACTCGTAGTCTGATATGATAATGTTCAATGCCACGCCACGGTTTTACAAGCCACAACTGATTTGTTGAACGATCAATCGGGTCTAGTCCAGTGAAAAAGGACCTTAACTTGCAAATCAGTGGTCTCAAATTTGACCTTCCATGACACGGTGACACCTTGATAATTTTAAACTCTCCAGGTATCCATAATACATTTGCCTCAAAGGAAAATTGCAATAAGCTGTCCACCTTTGCATGAAAACTAACTCAGATAAATGAAGTTAGCATCCCAATTTCAACCATAACAAGGCCACGAGCTTTTTTACGACAGAAGGCTAGAAAATGTGCATGCCTCAGCAAACAGTATGAAATTCTCATCTTCGGCGCATTAATCACAATATTTGCACTAACTAGGCATTGATTGGATGGTACATTCGAGTCCACTAAATAAATCTAAAATACACTTGACATGAGATTGCACTGCTTGCCCATTGTGATACAGTGTTACACTAAGGTTAACGAATTGGCAAGGTCATCCCCTTCATATACGAATACACATGGAGGATTTACCTTCTCTATGGAAGTTAACGTTTGGCTTAAACAGCGCACCTCAGAACTGGAAAGAGAGGAGAAGTCAAAAGAGAGATCTCGAGCCACTACCTGGTTTAGTTTATGATTACAAAGAAGTTCTAAGTACAACGTCAACCAACTCCAAGATGGCAAGCGTTTCTTCCTCATGAATGTCTTGAAGCGTCGCCATGCAACTGTGAAGATCTCAAATGAGGGTCATCCTGTAATTGGGGTCACAAAACCCAATATAGTTAGTAAAAAACCACAGATAAAATCATTGGAGTTTCTTCAAGATACACGCATACATGCTATATTGCAAACAAACCTGCAAGCTGTAACTGAAACTAGTTGATGGTCTAAAGTCCAATTGTCCCTACATGATTAGGGCAAAATTTGAGAAATTTATCCTCTGAATATACAATACCTGGAAAATTTTCTCAAAAAAGTGAATCGCATTAATATGAAAATACTATACCAGCCCATGAATGCTTTGTTGAGTCCCAAAAAAACCATCATGATTGGGTGCTATTGAATTCAGTTGTCCCTATAAGCAAGATAAAACCAATTAAATTGAAATATAATATCGTGTCTGTATGGTTCTAAAGGGAATCCTTAGATATAATGGTCACAACATTATTTTGACTTACCAGCCCTTGCATACTCTGCTGGTTAACATAGTAACTGTCATGGGGTGGCTCCATTAAGTTCAACTGTACCTGCAAAGACCAGTTACAAAACGTCATAAATGGTACAAGAAAAATGTAATGTAAAAATTGAAAATAAATTATACAAGAAAATAATATGCAATACCAGTCCATGCACATTCTGTTGGGCACCATAATATCCAGTAAGGGGTATACCATCTGAGCTTAAGTTATCCTACAAGCATAAATGCCCAAATTAAAGATAGCGTTATCATTAAGATCACTGTAGGAAAAAAAAATTCACAAACTTAGTCTGAACTATGTAAAGAACTCAATGCCCATGATATTCAGTAGTTAAAGAGACAAAAGTAAGGATGTTGTTAGTAAATGGTGGATTGCATTCAAGGAATATCTGCAAAATCAATAATTTCCTGATCCAGTGGACTTTAACACAGAACACCGAAATTAGATCTTAAATAAAATGAATAAAGAACAAACCATTTGCTGCAAGCCGTCTTGTGCTTCCACAAGTATAACATCTTGCTCTGCTTGCACCTGCAAAATAGAAATATACTTCCATGAACTTCCTTATTACATTTGACTCAAGCGAAGTCAACCATCAAGTTCAGAACATACCTTTCTTTTTCTATTTGTAATTTTCTTCCTACTTGTTTTTGACGCAAGGCTTCCTTGATTCTCTTCTTCTGCTTCACGAATACTATGTACAGTGCCGCTAAAGTCTACGACAGTATTATTAGAGTTATTCACGTTCACACAATTCTTTAAAGCTTCAACAAGTGTGCGGAAAGCAATATTATAAGTTTCCTCAGATATTGATCCTTCTTCACTCAATTCAATGGCTCGTTTGCATAAATCATTGTAGCGTTGCACCCTAGTCTGTACTCGCTCTGTTTCTTCAACCATTGATTGCCTGCTTTTTGCATCTTTTGTCCATCTCTTCAAAATATAATGAAATGGGATGCTTGAGAGGCCACAAATTTGGAGAACAATCAGTGAATGTCTACAAAGAAAACCTTTGTACTCGAACAAACGACAGGAGCAAGAAACCTCTGACTTTGTTTCATTCCAGGTCACCATGAAATATTCATCCTTTTCACAGTCTTGAACTCTGAATGTAGTAGTTGGTCCGTCTTCATGTTCTTTCTTTGGCTGGCAGCCAACTACTCCCAAAACCTCAACTTGGAACTTTTTGAATACTGCATGAGTGTAAACTGTTGACATTTGTTTTTCCCAAGGAGAAGGAGATTTTAATGCAGGCTGTTTGTGCCATGTATCAAAATCTGCAATTGCTTCCTCTTCATACCTGTTTTGTAGAATTGTCCCATATTGTTTCACAAACTCTCTCAGAGTAATTTTCTTGTGTATGTATTTATCGAAGAAAGAGTTCATACTTTCAGAACGCTGAGTTGTACACATTCCAGCGAAAAAAGTATCTCCCATATAAGTAGGCACCCATCTTTTACGATCTTCATACAGCAACCGGATCCATTCGTCATCTTGAAGTTCAAATCTGGTAACCATCTTCCACCATCTCAAGTCAAACTGTTCGTCTGTCCAGGAATTAAAGATGCACTTGTTAAACTTTGGCAAGAAATTTTCGTGCCGTTTGATTACATGAGCAAGAGTTTCAGGGATCTTTTCCAATATATTCCAAAGTGTAAAGCAGTGGCGTGCATGTGGAAAGACTTCATCAATTGCTGCCTTCAAGGTTTGGTCTTGATCAGTGATAATCAATTTAGGACATTGCCCACCCATTGCTCTAAGCCACGTCTTCAACAACCATACAAATGTTGATTTAGTATCATCAGCAACCAACGCACAACCAAGCAACATTGACTGAAAGTGGTGGTTCACCCCAACAAAAGGAGCAAATGGCAACTTATCATTTATTTTGATATAAGAAGTATCAAAAGAGACAACATCATTAAAACTCCTATAATCACTCCGACTTTTTGCATCAACCCAAAACAAATTTCTCACACGCTGCTCTTCATTCAAATCTATTGCATAGAAGAAATTGGGATTCTCCTTCCGGATTCGCTTAAAGTATTCAAGCATTACTTGAGCATCTCCCTCATCTAGACCCAAGTCCCGGCATTTATTAAACTGATAGTTTGAATCAGTCGTAGCAAACCCAGTATTTTGATACCCGCCAGATTGTCTAGACATTTCAACGTACATCTTTCTAGTTCGTTCACTAACTGCATGCAAAATGTCAATATTATTCTTTTCAGCTAACTTTACATTTCTATGAATCCGAAAATGATATGCTAGAGCAGGTAAAAGCTCATGATTATGCTCCTTTATGAATTCATGAATAATCCACTTTCCATCTGCCCTCCTCTTCACATGCATGCTGGCTTTGCAGTCTGTCTTTTTCACAGTTGGTCGACGACTAGTCCCACTATCCGACTCCGGTGTGACTCCATATCTGGAACATGCAAACTTGGCATCAATAAACTCTTTCGATTTCTTCGAACGCCGACTGTTTTTTATTGAAGTGGTGAATCCCATAGACTTGGCATATTCTTGATAAAATGAGTATGCTGCCTCATGTGATTCAAATTCAATGCCATTACAAGGTTCAAAATCTGTGTCTCCCTCAAACACTTGAATGTCCCTTTTAGGAGAGCTAATGACTACGCCACCTCTATTCTGCACTTCTTCCACAACAGCAACCATATTCATATTTTCACTTACTCTACCACCATTCATATTTTCTGGACCATCCACCACTGTTTCACCCAAATTTTGATTTCTATCCATGATGTTTAGTTAAAAGTAGTTTGTTATCTGTTTCTGAGAAGAGACTCTGATCTTCTAAACAGACCTTCATAGTAATACCTAAAAGATAAAAGGTATAATAAGAAACAATGATACGGTGATCAGAAAAACAAGTCCTTTTGAGGGTGTTAAAAAATACTCAGCGATCATCTCTGTTATTAGCAATATACTAACCAACTTGGCCAGCAAACCTAATAAAAACAAGTTATTGGACCACGTGGACACTCAAGAAGTCTCTGTCATTCTACTTGGCACTCTCTTATGGTGATGTAGAACACGCACGATTGCATCAAGCAAACCGTACCGAGTGCAAAAGACACCAACTCTATCACTGTTGGTACCCAAAGTGCACCTCTCTTACCAAGTACACATACACACAAACATAGTTTGCCCGGTTCAAACTTCAAGCAACAATTGCCAACATATTTCATACGAAATTAAGATATAATCTAAAACTAGTATTTATAAATTTGTATATTTATAAATCAATAGGAACTTAGCAAGCAAATAAAATAGTGCCAAATTATAAACAGCTAACCTCACATAATCTAGCACACTGAGCCCGTAAGTAAAGCATTAATGCAATAGTTGTGAATCTTCGGAAACCACGATGATGATTAGAGAAAAAGTTTCATTGCTTCACTCAAGTTTATTCACTGGAGCTCTCTGATCAAATATCAAGAATGAACAAACGTGCGGCTAGAGTAAACAGTAATGACAATTTTATATGATTAGTTTGATTTTACTATGCTTGACTATTTCAGGTCCATTTTATCTATCAACAGTGTTCCGTCAAATAATGTTGATCAATTAAAAAAAAAAAAAAAAAAAAAAAAAAAAAAAAAAAAAGTGGCCATTTTCACCCTCTGCTTGGCAGCTGAGAAAGCTGATGAAATGAACAGAAAAGACTAAAGTCTAGACACGTTTATGCTTTAACACATATTTGGGTCTAACAAAACAGCATATGATCACAATTATTAACTCAATTTTCCCATTTTGCGGCGATTTCTCAGCAACCAAACAGAAAACAAAACAAATTTTCCCAACCAAACCAACAAGTTTGAATAAGTTTAGAAAAACACAAGAAATAAGTAGAGAGAGAGAGAGAGAGAGAGAGAAACCTCAAGTGAAGGCAGCAGAATCAGAGAAGAACGGTGGCTGATTCCGGGAGTGGGCGAAAGCTTTCGAATTTGGGAAAGCTTAGGGCTTTGATCTTCTATTTTTGGGTAATTTTGGTTTATCATTTTGGGTTAATATCTGCTTCAGAGCCACAGGCGTGGCGCGTAGTTACTTGAATAATCGGTCTGAATGAATATGAATTTATGAACAACCCCTCCTCCTAATTCAACACGAATGTGTAAGTGTTTTTACAGAGTTAATTATAGAAATGGTGATTAAATTATACCACTTTACATTTTGGTCCTTGAATTTTAATAGTGAATTCTGTTTGGTGTTTTTGAGAGACTATTTCTATAATTAACCTTCTGTCTATATGTTAGACTCCCAATTGTGAGAGTAGACGATTATCAACCGTTGATACATCACATGCATCAACAGTTCACATATGAGCTAGCATTGCTCATATGATAATGTTACATGTGTGACTTGTAAGTTGTAACTAATTGTCTTTTTTAACCATCAAACTTTGCAAAGGATCCAATAGTGTAGTGATTTGGAGTATCTACTCCCTCAAGCAAGGTCCTGAGTTCGAGTCCTAACATCCATGTAGTGTGTATAAGTTTAATATGTTATCGCCCCTCTCAATAGAAAAAATTTCTCCAACGTGACTCATAAGATATTATATTATATTACACTGTGAGACTTACATGATTAAAACTAGCATTACTTGTATGAAGTGTTGAATCACAAAATTTTGAATGAACAAAATATAGTTAAATTATTAGGTGAAATTAAATTAAATTGACACCCACGCACTACAATTCTTTCAAAACAAAAATTAAACATTAAAAAGAAAAGAAAATTGCATTTGGCAATTTGGCAATCAGTCAATGGAATTTGACTAGTAATAAGTTATTCTGATTTCAACTGACCCTATTGACTGAGGCTAAGCAATCAGAGGGTACAATAATACAACATCCTTTACAAAACATATGAACCCTGATCAAATTTTCTTCCTACTTCCAATAAGATCGCATAGGAAATAATTAACAACAGCCTACTCTATCATGTCTTATTGTACAGGTACCAAAAGAGGAGGTTGCCCACAAGGCATGATACATTTCTTCCTTTTTCTTTTTACATGAGAGATTATCTTCAAAACATCTCCTTCACCTACAGAATAAAATTCGAATCAGTTTTTACCGTGTTTCAAGTAAAACTTTAGCGAACAGCAAAAAAGTTCAATAAATACCCGCTTCAAATGCAAGCTGCCAACACTGAGAAACGTGTTCCTTAAGCATGTCTTGATGCATCATCATGCAATGGAGCAGTTCTTACATTCGGGTCATCCTGGCATGAGGAGAAAACTATTGTAAGATAAATTAAAGTCAAATACAAGATTTAGGAAAGCCATTAGGGCCCAGGTCTAGCAAACTAACCCGCATGCCATAAGTGAAACCACCTGCTGTTCGGAAAAAATCCATCTGCCCCTGCAAGCACAACGCCACAAATTATAAAATGAAACCATTTGAACATTGTCATAGGCAAATGTATTCGTTATCATAAGTTTTCTGTACCAGCCCATGCATGCTTTGCTGAGCACTGTAATAACCATCATGGCTTGGGGCTATAGAGTTCAGTTGTCCCTACATGTATGAAACCCACGTCTCAAAGTTATATTCATTTACATTGCAGTATCACTAGTCTTTTTATACTCATTTAAAAAATTAAGACTTACAAGCCCCTGAATGGTCTGTTGATTCCCATAGTAATTATCCCGTGTAGGTGCCATTAAGTTCAATTGAACCTGACAAAAAGGAGGCACAGATTGAAAATAAGAAGAAAAAAAATCAAAAACTGCTTATTGCATTAATACATAAAGACATGGTCATACCATTCCTTGCACACTCTGTTGTGCACCATAATAGCCATCGAGAGTTACTGCTCTTGGGTTCAATTTGTCCTACAAAATATTACCATAGTCAAATCAATTGTAAAAAATTTGTATTTTCAAATCATAGAACACAATATCGTTTCATAATATTGTGTAGCCATCATAACATTGTTTCAAAACACAATACACGTACAGATTATGATACCAATTTGACGCATATAATCTAAAACAAATATTTGTTTTCATAAAAGCTAAAAACTCATAGAACAAGACAAACCATTTGTTGCAAGCTATCTTGTGCCCCAACAGTCATAACATCCGGCTCAGAGTTCACCTGCAATTTGATTAGAACGTCAACTTTAACAAATATAATTATAACAAGAATATCATAATTAAGTCACTACCAACAACAAACCTTTCTTTTCTTGGTTGGATTCTTTTTTTTATTTGTCTTGCCCATACTTCTATTTTGACTATCGTCTTCAATACAAAGCAGACCATGAGTGACTGATGATGTGCCAGCTTCTATCAGACTCTTACTAGAATTATTTACACTCACACAATTTCCAAAAGCTTCTTCTAGTGCACGGCATGCAACACTGTAACTCTCCTGAGATAGAGATCCTTCCTCGATCACTTTCATAGCCCGTTGACATAAATCATTAAATTTTTGCACCCTGGATAGTCCATGGTCAGATTCTTCTCCCACCAAATGCCTGTTCTTTACATCTTTTGTCCAACGTTTTAATATATATTGAGCTGGGATTGCGGAAAGGCCACAAATTTGGAGAACAATCAGTGCATGTCTACAAAGATAACCTTTGTATTCAAATAAGCAGCATAAACAAGAAACTTCTGTCTTCATTTCATTCCATGTTACAATGAAATCTTGATTCTTTTCAAAATCTTGCACTCTGAAAGTAATGGTCGTCTCATCTTGCCCTTCCCTTTTTGGGTGGCAGGCAACTGCACCTAAAACCTCAACTTGAAATTTCTTGAATACTGCATGTGTGTACACCCCTGAGACACTCTTCTCCAAAGGTGAAGGAGATCTCAATGTTGGCTGTTTGTTCCATGTATCTGAATCTGCTTTGGCTTCTTCTTCATACCTATCTTGTAGAATTGCTTCATACTGTTTCAGGAACTCTTGTACAGTGGTCTTCTTATGCACATATTTATCGAAAAAGGAGTTAACACTCTCAGATCGCTGAACCGCAGACATCCCAGCCAAACAAACATCCCTCATGTATGTTGGCACCCACTGTTTTCGGTCTTCATACAATGACTGAGTCCATTCATCATCTTTGAGTTCAAATTTTTCAAGAATTTTCCACCATCTTTTTTCAAACTCTTCATTTGTTGATGACCTGTGGATGGACTTTTCAAATTTCGCCATAAAATTTTCATGCCGTTTAATTACATGGCCAAGATTTTCAGAAACCTTCCCCAAAATATGCCACAAACAAAAACAATGATAAGCATTTGGAAACACCTCTGAGATAACTGATTTTATCGATTTGTCATGGTCAGTGATTATTACTTTTGGAGCTTGCCCACCCATAGCTTTCAGCCACGTCTGCATTAGCCAAGAAAATGTTGTTGTACTTTCATCTGATACCAAAGCACATCCAAGCAGCACGAACTGATAGTGCTGATTCACTCCAACAAATAAAACAAGAGGCATTTTATATTTGTTCCTAATGTAGGTGGTATCAAAAGACACCACATCACTGAAATTGATGTAGTCATGCCTACTTTTTGCATCAACCCAAAACAAACTTTTCAGACGTTGATCTTCTCCCAGATCTATTGCATAGAAAAAGTTGGAGTTCATATTCTGCATCTGTGTGAAAAAATCAAGCAAAATCTTCAAATCTCCTGCCTCTAATGCCAAATTCCGACCTTTATCAAATGGATTTTTGGGATCATTTTTTAGGCCAACCACATTTTTGTATTCAGCAAATTGTCTAGCCATTGCAGCATACATCTTTCTTGTTTGTTCACTGACTGCTTGGGCTGGTAAAAGCTCGTGGTTATGCTCCTTCACAAAATTATGTATAACCCATTTACCATCTGGTCTTCTCTTCACATGCATTGAAGCTTTGCAATCTGTCTTTGAGCATGATCGCCGACCAGTCGCATTTTCCGGGTCTTGCTTGTTCTGTCTGGCACGTGGTCTATTATACGACTTGTCATACTCACGCTTGGTCCCATATCTGGAACAAGCAAATTTTGCATCAATAAATTCTCTTGATGTCTTTGAACGGCGGCTATTTTGGATTGCAGTGTTGAACCCCATAGACCGAGCATACTCCTGATAGAAAGAGTATGCTTCCCCATGCGATGCAAATTCCATACCAAAAAGCGGCTCAAGATTTGTATCCTCTTTAAAGACTACCATATCTGCTGTTGGAGAATTCAAATCCCCACCATCTTCAGCATGTACCTCATCTCTAACATCCACAATGTTTCCATTCTCATATCTCCATTCTGCAATTTTTCTTCATGTTCTAACATGTTATCAATTCCATGTGGTTCTTCATCTTCTTTGTCAGGTTCACCAGAAGGTAGCCGTAGATCTATGTCCATAGTGAGATTATTTAATTTCAACTGGTTATTATCGGAGAATATCTGAAAGAAAGAAAGGACAACAGTTGCCAGTAAATCAGAAAATGAAAAGAAAAAAAACTACGAACTCCGAGGATGATAATGCCAATAACAATAAAACATCAAGATTCCTAACTAAAGCAAGAAAAAGAGTTACAAACCATTTTGGACGTTCGAAGTACAATGTAACTAACAGATCCAACTAGACTGTCCAGCCTTGTCAATGTCAAAAAGATGATGACATCCTCTTCTTCCAACATAAGGGACCAGGATCACCTCCCATTGTATCTTAAATGATAATACAACTTTTTGGCTGGAGACATAAAAGAAGAAAGGAGAATGTTCCTCCTTAATTAGAAAGATAAATAAATAGAGAGCAAAAACATTAATCCTACATGACTGAAAACTTCCATAGAAATAGCTAAGTGAACCACTATCACATGTTGAAATTGTGATAGTTTAAGAGGTTTAGGTGATTATCAAAGATAGAACAAATTGTGTTGGGGGGATGTTTTTCACAACCACCAAAAGAACTATTACTTGATATTCAGAACTACGTATTCACGTAGTCAGTTATGGGTGTGAGAATTTTCTGTTCAACACAGGCATTCCACATATTTGGAGTGTCCAGCAGCCATATCCTTGTTAATATCATGTCACATTGCCACAAGTATTCAGGACCACCAACGTGAAGTGTTTATAACTACTATACCAGAACAGGGTGGTAAGGCACTTTCTTGGAGGCATAGGGTGTTGTCCTGAACTCACCTGAATACCTTTCAGGGAACAAAACTTGAAAACCCTTTTAACATTCTTAAAAGAATTTCAGAGTACTCTTTCACCGTTTTAGCTAAATATGAGAGTGTTTTAGTACTAGAACACATTTCATTCAATTCTGAAAAGCCCCTCAGGCCTTTTCTTATAAATGATATGGAGAATGCAAAATTATGCACAGCACATTCCCATTATATAGCCAATTTAACACAACCTGAAGATATTAAACAATGAGAACAAGAGACACTCTGAGTTCATTCATTCATTCAACATTTTTTGTTATTGAACATCTGCACTAAAGAATTGCCATAGATGCAAAATCTTGACTACAAATGCATCTTGAGTTCTTTACCTTTTTTGTTTTTCCTTTTATTGAATTTTCCATCAAAAGTAAACTAAAATTGGAGAATAAAGGAAAAAAAATAAAAGCCAGTCAAAAATTGCCGTAAGATGTACAACTTTTCCTTTTGAACCTATTATTAAATTTTAACATATCAGATACATACTAATAAAATATATGATAATTATCTATCCATAAATTATCATTTAGGAAACCATAAACATGTATATCAACATCAAAAAGTGGCTAACATGACATTGCAGAAAGCATCTTAATCCAATACCAATATATTGAAAAACCAGACTAAAGGTCAAAGAACGCTCTACAATGTCCAAATAACAGCAATAGAGTATTTATTTCTACCATAAATGAGGTCTTGTTTAGGAAAGGAACAAAAAAAAACTGAGCTACATTTGGCAGCAGGATCAGGGTGGTTTGTCTGCGTTGAAGAGCAACACCACACACACACAGAGGTGGAACCACCTAGAGAGCGAGAAAGTACAAAGCCAAACCAGACAATACAAATCAAAACCCAATTCAACTCACACGTCCCACATTCTGTTTCATCATACAATTTCTAATCCTAAGGAACTTGCAATTACATTCCTAAAGTATAGACTACCATGTCATATGCTGCATACGGAAAGAACTGGGCAATCATACTTTATATGCTAATAAGCACTCCACAAGCTCCAAAATGTGCAAAACTGCAAGTCCACTTGGGAGACTAACTGGACTACTAAGCCTGTTTAATAAATAAGGTATTCCCAAGTAATGAAATTCGAGCTCAGCTGAATTTACCATGTTGGAAAATTACTCTGAAAAATGAAATTAGACAGCCAACTTCTGCATACAATTTGTAGTAAAACATAACAAGAAGGCTCAACACATACTCTATAGTGATTTATAGTAACTCCCCATTTTCAAATCCATTTCATTATTTTGTGTCAAATGCAAGAAATCAAATCACCCACATGAAAAGACATACTTTTTACACAAAACAAAAATAAAAATACAATCTTTACAATCCATACAAATCCCAAATAGCACAGCAATACATTCAACAACAGAAAAACCAAAAAGAAATTTTAAAACAACGAATTGGTTTTCATGGAGAGAAAGAGAGAGAAAGAGGGAGAGAGATATATAGAGAGAGAAGAGGGGTCTACCTCTCTCTCTGTGTATTACATATGGACGAAGGAGGTGGAGAAGGAGAGAGCTTCGATCTGAGACTGGGGAAGATGATCGCGCACGCGAGGGGGTTGAGCGAGTGGCCAATACGAAGGTCCTTTAATTTTGCCCCCAATTTGTTTCTGTTTAGGGTTTCAAAAACGCTCGATCAATCTGACTCTCACCTTTCCTCACTCGCTGCCTCTTTTTCCCCTTTTATTGATTTATTTCTTTTATTTTTGGTCTAAATTTTTCCTAATTTATTTTATTTTAATTTATTTCCCAAACCTCGCTGCCACACGCGTCGTGCGTGCCAGCCCCGCTGTTGCTGTAACCACAGAGATGTGGGTCCCGCCTTTTTGCAAACGTTATTAGCTGAGTGCGCGTGTCACGCGTGGCTGCCTGCTCAACAAATCACACGTTAGCTGCCTTCTCTCTCTCCCACTCTCTTCACATATCTATATATCAAATTTATTTTTGTTTTGTTGATTTATTTGCTAAATCAAATAAATGAGTCGTCCAAATTCAAGGTTTTTAAAAAAAAATTTGGTATGACTGTCACACGTTATGATTGCGAATTTGCGACATGAGAATAGAAAGGAAGGTTTCTCACACCTGCACTACTAAAATTACTTTTGGTTTTCCAATTTCCTCAAATTAAGAAACGATCCCTAACTCTATATTTTCACTCAGAAATACAGAGATTCCTATCTCCTTTTCATCTTGTGAACCAAGTGCATGGGACCCGAGCATATTTCTTGCCATGTCCATGATTGTTGGATTTCTTTCTTTCTGAGCCACAACTTTTTTTCGTTCGGGTGTGTGTATGGTGATGTCAATGAATGCCTGCAAAGCCCATTCCCTTGATCTATTCTTTCAAATTCCGTTGTGACTGATATATGTATAAATTTGAAGGTCTAGATACCTTTGAACTTTCCTAACCACAAGTCTTCTCTTTGACTTAATACATTGGGAAAACCCAACACTTTCTTCTTTTGGATCCCCAAGTCTCTCAAGTTAAACCAGAAGCACTCATCAAACTCCCCTTGTTAACAGGACACAAAAATGATGTGAGTTCAGTTTTTCCAAATAGAGGACGTCAAATTCTTCAAAATATGTTTACAAAAGGGAGCATCTTGCCGTGCCATACATAACCGAACCTATAAAATTCTATGACCATTGTGACATGCAAACGTATCACTGAAACTGCATTAAGAAGAGTAGTTTCAAATCGAATCACATACAAACATGACAATTTTATCACATTTTGATGCACGCATTTTTCTATCAAAAAACTGTCAAAATATGTATTTAAACTTAATCATGAACAGACACTTCTATAACTTCTATACGCGTATAATTTTCGTACCTATACAAAAGGCCCTCAGCTCTGATAACTATCTATCTTATTTGCTAGCTTCTCCACCAAAGCAGTTGGCCGCGCATTTGCATTGAATTCTAAAGCTGGAAGATGAAGAAGAAGATATGTTTCGAGCATAGAATTTTCCTTGAAATTTGTGTGGAAGTTTGTAAGCTTCAGTGGAGGGGAGAGGATAGGAGAGGAGAGACAGGGAGACAAGTTGGTTTTTATTTTCTTGGGTTTGGGATGTACAGGGTTTAGGGTCTGCTTTATGGATATTGGAAAAAAGGAGAGAGAGGAGAGATTGTAGAGTTGTAATCCAAGGCAATCCCTCTGTATCTCAAACGACTCAATATTTTTTAGGGGAAGCAATGATTTTAGGATCTTTCTTGATACATGGTTAATTTGTATAGGAAAATTACTTTGCATATTATTGAGTCTGTAATCTATACCATAGTCTCTCAATTTGTATATCACTTTTATATTTAGTTTTTTTTAATCAACTGACATGGAGGATTTGGATTCAAGAATATGTTCTTGATTTTGATAGTCTCACATTATCTTGGCAAGAGAGATCATTGCCACTTGTTTCTTTCCATAACTATACATTCCAATTTCACATTCGTGTTACTTATTTATTAACATGAAAGATATCATGTTAACACGGTCTAGTCTAATGGAAAATAGCTTCGACTTACAGACCAGTAGTCTCAAGTTTAAACACCTCCATGATACGATGATAGTGTATGTATAAAAAACTTCATTCAGACTACCGCTTATATAATATATTTATAAAAAAAACAAGTAAAAAGTACTTTTGGTCACCGGAGTTAGGGTGGAGAAATATAGAAGGTGCCATTATCACCTAAGGCTAATCAAATAAGTTCCTTATAATCAAATAAATATTTTATTGAAGCTTTATTAAAGGGATCAAAAGATGATTAAAAAAATCAAATTATTAGCCAAAAAAATGTCAAGGAACTATTAAAAAAACATGAAATAAGAGTAAAGTTGAGGAGAGAGACAAGAGAAAGAGATGAGAGAGAATAACATTTTAGTGGGACCCATACAAAAACGCCAACATTAATAACGCACCCATATTTTTCTACCAAAAGCAAACCTAATACATTACACGTCCGCTATGTACATTACATCTTCACATACTGGTGAGTCTTGAGTCTGTCAACGGCCCAAAAGTGAACGCCTTTTGTTTTTGTTTTTGGCTTTTCTTTGCTTCTTCAGCCGAAGGCCAGCAAATTCTACTATTTTTTCTCACTTCTTTCTCTTTGACCCATTGCACAACTCCTTCATTCCATTTCACAACTGGGTTTTCCTTTTCCTTTTCCTTTTCCTTTTCTGTTTGTCAGTTTCAACATTTTATTCTTTTGTTTTTTGTTAATATTTGTATTATCTGTGAGTGGTGGCAAATTGAGAGCAACAGGTACCGTTAAAGTAAATTCTTACTTTCTTTTTGGGGTTCCTCAAAATTCATTTTTATTTTTGGCTTTTGGGTTACAGAGAGGGAACACTCTTCTCTGAAAAGCTCTCCCCTTTTCTTGTATTTCTAGTCTTCTTCCACTCTCTAGTTTGGGAGTGCTAGGGTTTTTGGTTTGCTTTGGGCGGTGAGTTTGGTCTGAATTGGGAAGTTATGGTGAGAAAACATGGATGGCAACTACCTGCTCACACCTTCCAGGTACTTACATGTCTTCTCTAGTCCAGACTTATATCTCATCTCTTCATATCAATGTCTGTTTATGTTTTGGTGTTAGAATATTGATTAGGGTCTGCTTAAACCGCTTAGTTGCTGATGTGGGTTTCTCTCAGAAGGGCTAATTATAGTCTGATCCCTGTTCTGAATGTGGGGTTTCGTTAGTGAATTCGTGTAAAAGGACAAATCTTTATGGCCATTATTATTTCTCCAACTGTTAGTTAGGTCCTTGTGGTGTGCTTTTACCATTTTTTAGGAGGAGTTTTGGGATGGGATTATGCAGTATTAGATTCCTAACTAAGAGAAAAAAGTAGGAAAAGCTCGAATGCTTGAGTTTATGCTTGTTTAGGCTGTTTAAACTTGAACCTAGCAAGGCAGCATTTGTTCATTTTCCTTTTGCCTATATATCTACCCATTTTCTGGACACCGGATTATCTCTTTCTTGTTAATTTATCGTGATTTTTTTTAATAATTATTTGTTAATCGAGTTATCACCTAAACTGTGTTTTTCACTTGGCAGGTTGTCGCTATTACCGTATTCTGCTTGTTAGTGGTTGCATTCTATGCGTTCTTTGCGCCTTTCCTTGGAGGCCGTATCTGGGAATATGTTTTGATTGGAAGTTACTCTCCAGTGGTATGTGAAATGATTTAATTTAAGGTTTTCATATAGGTCCAAATTTGATATATATTTTTTTCAAAGATAAAAAATTTAATGGGGCCAAACTAGACTAGATTTTCTAGAGTTCAAAATTGATTCTCTATGCCAGTCACTTCTTATAATGCTTTAGCCTTTAGCACAATTCATCAGAATCATAACTAATTTCATTTCTTCTAGATAGATTTAGCTTTTTATGTCTGATGGTATTCCCATAATCTTGTCATGGCATTTCAGGCACTGCTTGTCTTCATTCTTTACGTTCGATGCACTGCAATAAATCCTGCAGATCCTGGCATTATGTCCAAGTTTGACAATGGAGCAACAAATAGTATCAATCCAAATCATAGGTTATCAGCAAAAGACTTGCCTAGAAAATTTGATGAAACCACCACTGGGCATTCTTCTCCATCATCAGTTTCCAGAAGTTCTTTAGCAGGGGCTAACTCTAGTAGGAAAGGCTCGGTAGGAGAACTAGGGGGTGTAAATATTGTAGCAGAACCCACAACCAGGAAATGTTGCATAGGTGGAATCTTCTGTGCATTGTTTGTACACGAAGACTGCCGCAAACAACAGGAAGGTGCAGCTGAGAGTCAAGGTGGTGAAGATGCTTTGTTCTGCACATTGTGCAATGCTGAGGTATTGCATTATGACAAGCATAGTATCATAATTTATCAGTTTAAACATTCATCACTTCTAGTCATTTTAGTTTCTCATGTGCTTCTTTATCAAGCTAAATGCTCCTAGTATTTTGTATTGTAAGTTGTGAAGCTGCTTCATTTCCCAGGAAGAAGCTATAGAAATGCTTTAAGTTATGATCTCAGTATACTCTCTCTCTCAATAGATTCTTGGCAGTTGAGTTGGTTACATTATTTGGTGCAAAATGAATCCATATGATCTGTAGAAGTGACCATACTCTGATAATAGCTTGAGCAATTAAGGTTTATAAAATCTTGTTTTTTTACTACAATGAATACTTTTCATGCTGCAGGTCCGCAAGTTCAGCAAGCACTGTAGAAGTTGTGATAAGTGTGTGGATGGCTTTGATCACCACTGTCGGGTATTTTTCATGTTGTTTGATGTATTGTGCAACTTGTTTTGGGTTGACCTATCTTAATATTCTCTCTACAAAAGTAACCTCAATATATACATGGCTGCAGTGGCTTAACAATTGCGTGGGGCACAAAAATTATGTGACTTTTATCTGTTTGATGGCCACCAGTCTTGTTTGGGTAGGTATTGCAGTCTGATAATTATCATGTGCAGTAATAATCTTTGGTACTAAAGATGCTCGCTCTCTGCCCATTTTGGTTCAGCTTGTCATTGAAGCTGGAGTTGGTATTGCTGTCCTTGTGCGCTGCTTTGTTAATAAGAGAAGCATGGAGGCAGAAATTATTGATAGACTTGGAAATGGTTTCACTCGTCCCCGTTTGCAACAGTTGTGGTACATCTTATTCTTTAAATGCTCTCAACTAAAGTTAGCATCCTCATCTTTTGCCGGTATCAGTAGAAAAATTGCTGTGCTAACTTTGGGTCTCACTTTGTGTAGACTGTATGTACAGCAGTTTCTGTGCTGGCATGTGTTCCACTTTGTGAACTATTCTTCTTCCACATGATACTAATTAGGAAGGTCAGTGCCTTTGGTTATTGAACTCATTTCCATGATGCTAAGTGTAGTAAGGGAGCTTAAGGAAGAGCTTTTATTATATTTCAAGTGATATAATCTTATTTTCTGAATTTTAAATTTGAATTAGGGTATTACAACCTATGAATATGTTGTGGCAATGCGAGTCATGAGTGAGGAACGTGGACAATATGTAGATGAGGCTTTCAATAATTTCGCGAACTCTTTTCGGAACTCCCCAACAGGATCTGCTACAACTGGCTTGAGTGGTGGGAGTTCTTTAGGTCTGCAATACAAGGGTGCATGGTGTACCCCTCCAAGAGTATTTGTGGATTATCAGGTACTTTAGTATTCACTTTATATCTTAATTTATTCTTAGTGAAAGGCATTGACAGTGGTTCAAATCAAACTAACTTTAGGCTTCAAATACCTATCTTTGACCTGTGGTTTAATATGTTTTTAGAACTAGATATTGACAAGATGATTAATTGCTCTGTTCTTGGGTGGAACAGTTTGGTCCCAGTTGATATTTTACAACTTACGGAACAGAGAGTAAATGAAACTAACAAGATGTAATCAGCAAATCCATATCTAATTATGTGGGGGCTGAAACTTGGTATCTTTTTCTTTTCTTTTCTTCCCACTGTTTTTTTTTTGTGGTCAATTTCTTCCCACTGTTTCTCTAATGGTCAGGCCCATGATGCTCCCATGTGGTTTGAGGTTTGAAACCTCCAAAGGTACCTACCTATCTATTTGCTAGTCTTTCCTGCCTCCGAAAGATTGTAGGTTTTGGCTGGGGGGCCCAGTTTCAGAGCTGTGTCCGCAAAGCGGATTGGTGGATTTCTGGGTATAATGGCCTTTTTTCGAACTTATGCAAGTGCAGTTAAAAGAACTACATTGTTGTTTAATCCTTCGTCTTTTCTTCATGTCCATATTTCAATCTGCTCAAGTATGAGGAGTTATTATCTGGATGCTGTATATTTGAGTTTTTTTGCTTGATCCAAATGATGGCTTAAATACTACAATTAATGTTTTCTATTGATCTCGCAAGGAAGAAATTTTTCAAAATTTTCTTCCCATTTTCTTGCCCTTCAAATCTTCTTCCTTTCTTAATTATTTTTCTTTCCTCCATTAGTGGCTTTTAAGAATGGGTACAGGAATTGCCAGCATGGACCCACAACTAGTTTCCTGTCTTCTGTTTGACATTTATATCTTTTTTTTCCTCTGGGAGAAGAAAACTTTGTATATTTTACACTTGACACGAGTTTTGCTTCATTAGGAAGAAGTTGTACCACATTTGGAGCCTGGAATGGTCCCATCAACTATTGATCCGGATGCAACTGGAATTACAGAAAGAGAGCAGAAAGGTCCTAAAAGGCCTGTTCGCATTAGTGCTTGGCAGCTTGCAAAGTTGGATTCCAGCGAGGCCATGAGAGCAGCAGCCAAAGCCAGGGCATCATCCTCTGTTCTACGACCACTTGATAAACCTGACCTTGAACTTAGCTCAAGTGGCAATATGAGTGTGAGAAGTAGTGTAAGCACTGACACAGGGGCAAATAAAGAGATTAAGAACGAGTTGAGGTTGTCAAGAAATTCCTTTGCTCCAAGTCAAGGTAGCCGAGATGAGTATGAAACTGGGACTCAAAGCATAAGTAGCTTCAGTAGTCCAAGTCATGTTCATGAAGCGGTCACACTTAGCCCTCTACCACAGGGAGGTCTGGGACGCTTTAGTGCAGCCACTTCAGTCCCCAGCTTAGTTCCTGACCGTCCATTAACTTCCAAGGCAACATTGCCTAATGTCAGCTTGGGATTTGATGAAAAGATTATGCAGAGGGGAAGTACTACTGATCCATTGCTGCTGTCAGCTCCAGCTTCATCTCTTTTCAGAGATGTCAGAAGGACATCCGTTGTTTGGGACCAAGAAGCAGGGAGGTATGTCTCAGTTCCTGTATCAGCTTCTGAAGCTCGAAACAGGTTATCCACACAAACAGGTTTTTCAAATCCTAATGCAGAAACAAGTAGTTATAGTAGAAGGCCAGTTATTCCGCCACAGGAACCTTCATCTTCTGCAGTGAAGACTCCAGTGCAACAAACAGAAAAAACTGATGTACACAGGGGATTCTATATTCTTTGGCGGCCCGCTTTTGAGTGCACCAGTTAGGGAAAATTTGAAAAATGAAAGGGATTTGGGTTCAAGAGAGGGCCAAGAGAGGGTGGGACTGAACTTGCCTAGGGAGTCTAGATTCAGACGAGATTCTGCCTCGAACCAGCTTCCTGTGTTTGTCCCAGGGGGTTTTGAGAACAACCCTTCTTTTGGTTCTGGTTTGAAGTAGTGTTACATTTATGGGCTGAAAATTCTGACAAATGCATGTAAATTTCTTCCTCCTCTTGCCAGGATTGTGTATTGGAGGAATGTGCAAGTCTGAAACCAATGATGGGAGCTAAGCTTGATCCCTTCGACCTGACTGCTTGAAATTGTTACAAACAGAGTTCTCTTACAGGGTTGGAGCAGTTTCTTTGATGAAATTCCGATTTAATGTACCGGCATTAGCTGAGGTCTGTAAATGAGGCGATCTTAAGAAGTGTTTTCTTGCGCTTTCTTGGCATTTTAGCCAAAGGATTTGTCTAACAGAGCTCCATTTATACTCTGAATATTTTTTTTTATTAGCAAGGTATCTTCCCACTATTGAGCTGGAACATGTAAAATCTATCTTTTTAGATTCATCCCATTTTACTTCCCCATCTTCTTTTGCTGTTGATGTTATCAAATCTCCAAGTCCCATTGTTTTGGTTGTTTTGCTTTTAGTTGTCTTTCATTGCATTGTCGTCAAACTTCCAAGCATGTCTCAGCTCACCAACGTTTACGTCAGCGTCCTTTCATGATTTCTTAACCAAACATAATGAATTATAAAAGCACGACATTAAATATATGATAAATAATTTGGAGGAATCCCCACTGACTTAGAGTAACCCAGCTCCTAAAAATGATTTACAAGAGGTTTTAACGGTCGACACCGATTGTAGACCCGATGAGGATGACATACAAAAAGTTGCGTTGCGAGATTACCGATCTGAATAGTTAAGTTGTGGGATTGTCAATATGACATAGATTCTTGTATTCTTGTTTATGTATATATTCTAGCAATATGACAATATGACATTATGACATACGAAAGTGACTAGTGAATGAGCAATTTCCACCAACTCCATTATCACACTTAGAAGATTCTTACAAACATGGAATCACAACTTCTCCAAAGAGTACGCAAATGAAATTGGCAAAATTATACTATAACAACTTAAGTGGCATGTTGCCTACTCATTTACCTCATGAAAAAAATTAATCACTCCAAATGACTAGACAATGCAAGTGTACATATTATTATATTTTACATTTTTACATTTACATACATGTTATTTTTTTTTTTTTTTTTTTTTTTTTTTTTTTTTTTTTTTTTTTCAAAATTCATACTATTATATTTTATAGAAAGTATGTGAAATAGTGGAGATGATGATATTTTATTATAAAAAGTAAGTGGGGCATATAATATATACAAATTTATAAATAAACCCAATCCTAGACATGTATTTATAAAAAAACTCAAGCACTATTTAAACATAGAAACACACCCAAAATCAACAATTGTATATTTTTTGGGTGTGTTATAAATGGGTTTTGAGTGTGTAATGATGGGTTTTGGGTGTGTTTATAAAGTGTTTTGGGTGTTGGGTTTTTTTATAATTTCAGTCCCCATTTTGGGTGTTTTAGTGAAACTCCAATATAATATACCTCTTCACTTTGAAGTAGACAATATTGTCTTATTAAGGAGAGTGTATATTTTGCCTACCCTATTCCCTTACTAAAAACCTTCATGTAACGGGAATAACATTGTTTTGCTATTTCCTACCAATAACACAATGACAAGTGAAAAATTTATCTTACATTTTATTGCGTTATTTGACAGAAATAGCAAAAAGTGTTATTCCAATTATATGAGAATTTCTCTCCTTCCCTTGGAACATGAAAATACTAATATAGCAAGGCAAATCTTATATACCTATTCTTTTGTCTCTTCCCTTCGAGATGCTCAATTTGCATAATTGTTTGTACACATCAAGTCTAGGTATTTTTGGCAGACAAGGTGACGGGGCTCCATCACGCCAGTCAATGTTCAATGAAAATATGCAAAGAAAATAAAAAAGGGAGCAGAACAGAAGGCTTCTCTAAAATGAACCAAATGGGAAATATATGTTAATAATGTGTCAAGAAGATTAGTAGACTCATGATATTTTTCTCCATTGGATTGGGTGTGTGTAGGAGGTGAGTCACAGCTGGTGAGTTTTCTTTTATTATGACCTGTCAAACTTGCAGTAGCTTAGCATTTCGCAAGTGATGTCCTTATCATGATTCATAAATGGAAGGCCAGCCGACGTTGGGCCATTTTGATCAAACACTACACTACACAACCTTAAAAAACATGAAACACTGATCAAAGGCTATTTTTAGGCAATTTCATTTTATCCACGTAACAAAAATAAAAAGTACCACGAAATATACAGTTTTGCAATTGCCAAGTTCCCCTAGGACAATCTGCATTTCTCTTTTCCACTGATTCAACTTTGCCACTAATTCAAGAGCAGTTCAACTTAAAAACAACCTTATTCCAAAACTGTTTGAATATATTCATATGAAAAAATCATACAGCATGATACTATGAATATGACGATGTTCTCGTTCAACTTACGCTGAGATAAATGTGGTGAGATTTTGTGTTTATCATTACAGCAAGCTTAGGTATATAATAATTTCGATACCGAACCTTTCTGTATCAAAACCTGAATTACTTCTTTCTTTTTTCCACAAGAAAATGGGGAAAACCCATACCCATGAGATAATGATTTTGTTCGTGAAATGTCATATATATCTTTTGCTATGGACTAAGAGGATAAGAATCTTGGGAATTTTGATATTGTATACGACAAGAAGATAAGGGAAAGCAAAGGCTGTTTCAGTCTTTGTGCAACTTCAAGATATAAAATCAAAATGATATCTGTTGAATAATTGAATGCATATTCTAGTGCAATGCGTTTCTTTCGTCATTATAAAATATATAAAGGTTTTTTTTTATTTTTATTTTATTTTTATCACTAATAAGCTCAATTGTTGGCCATATCCTACTTTTGCGTATTAACAACTCACAATAATCTATAAACTATTTTTGTGATATTTGGACATGCGCATTAAAAATATGAATTTAAAATAAGAGTAGGGTGTTTGCCTCCGTAAAATTAAGGAGGAGCCCCCCTATACTTTGCATTACACATTTTAGTATGAGTTGGTTTTGCAATACTTCCCTTCTTATCATGTAGTAGAAGTTTTTATATTCCTGTTAATAGCAGTGATAGTGTGACATATATGCATAATTTTTATTTTTTTGCATTTTAATGAATTATTTTTGCATATGTGATAAATTATGATTTGCATAAAGTAGTATCTCCTAAAAAAAGTATCATTCTAATTTTTAATAATTCTAAATGTACAAGTTTCAATTGGTGGATGTTGCAGCATTGATGTAGTTTAATATACAGAAAGATATTGTGGGAACTTCTCCAATAATAGACCTTTTCACCCCCCCACACACATGGTAGAATTCAATTCTCACTTTTCTTCTTTGAAAGATGAAATGACGGGTTTTTTCTATGAAGATGAGAATAACATGTCATTATATGTGAACGTAGAAGACTTTGATTTTAAGCTATGTTTAATAGTAGCAAATGATTCTTTTTTTTCCTTTTTATTTATTTTGGTGGGAAAGCAATCCCACATTTGGGGAGTTAGAGAAAATTAGAAGATTCCACTTTCTTCCTCCACTTGCATGTAAATGAAGGGAGATTCTTTAATAAATATTTTATGTTAAAAATTGATTATATATTTTTAATTTCGGACGCTGCCAAAATTAGAAATATGTGGTAAATGAAGCGTATTTAGACATATTTGGCCAGTCATTTTCATCATTGTCGTCACACTCAACAGTTTTAATCAAATAAATCAAGTATAGAAGAAACCAAGTCTGGTTCTTTCACTGAGAGTCCTAGTCTCTGTCCACTACAAAAGCTCTCTACTTGCTTGTTTTGTTGTAGATAAAGAGAGCAAAAAGATGGGTTTAATCGTCTTCTTGGATCCAATCTCAGAACCCAGGTATCAAATCTCAAATACACATTTGGGTTTGTGTTTGTTTTCTGATTGCGTTATTCAGTATTTGTTATGGAAAACTACACTTTGAAACAGAAGTCACCAGAGTATGAATACTTTGTGCATTTAGTTTTGGATCATTTCATTCAGTTCATCATCTTAGAGTTTTGATAAATTTTCAATATTTTGGCTTTGATCAGTTTGTTGATATTTTCCTTCCCAAAGTCTTCGCTCCTTTGCGGAAATGTTGGAAAAGATAAAACTTCAATTGCCCTTTGGACTTTTCTTCTAATTTGTATGACTTTCATGTCTTTCCGAATCCTTGAAACTTTGTATTTCTTGCTCGGTTTGTGGATCAACGTTTGTTTAAATTGTTCTTTAATCATCTTTCTCTCCTTATCAAAACCATAAAAAAAGGCGAAGGTGAGATGCACCCTATGACTTTCCAGTTCACAAATTGCATTTAAACTTTTTGACGTTCTGTTTGTTTGCTGAGAAAATGTTGGGAAAAGTAAGGACTTTAGTTCAGTATCTCCAACAAGTTTTAATTTTCCAATTGCTATTGTACACAAGGTTTTCTACCGTAGAAGATTGCAACAAACTACCCCCCTTGTTTTCTTGGTGACTTTGTTACAGTTTTATCACTGGCTATGTCTTTTATTTTTGTATTTATTATGTTATATGAATATATTTCCTCCATTTGGTTTTGCATGTTCAGTTCTGAAAGCCATTTTGTTGCTAAATGTTGTAAACAAAAAGAGATCAAATTTCAGTTTTAAGTATACGGAAACCAGGAAAATAGTAGGAAGCATAGTAGAACTAATTGTACCAGCTGATATGACCTTTGTCTCATAAAGTGTTCGTTAATATGGTCAAAGTAAAAAACTTTATTATTACTACTTCCTTGTTGATGCTGAGAGATGGCCTTCACCTTGAAGATTTATTTTTCTAATAAAATAATGGCCCCATTCGCGATGATGAGTTTTGTACATATGATATCACACACACACACACAACTTATTGGAGAAATTTTGTAAGTAATTTATCCGTCTTTCTTGTTTACAGCTTCGTTCATGTACAAAATATGTTGCTGCTTCTAGAAGTCCACAGGAGCATCTCTTTCTGGTTCCCTTTCTGTCC